CATTTTCGAACAGAGAAGGGCCTTAAAACTGAAGAATTTTTTTACAAAAATTATTTTTATTGGGGGAGAAAGCACACAGCAACAAAAACTAGGTACGTCCTACTGACCTGATAAATAGATCGACACCCATGGTTCAAAGTCTGCCATGGTTAAAGTGTGCCTTACTTTTGAGGCTTTCTCCACACCGGGGGGCAACCCGTGTCTCGTCCCGATTTACGGGGAGCCATTACACTTACACGGATAATCTTGCGACAAGCTGGGCCACAAACTGGGTGAAAGTCTGACAGATCTGCCATAGTTTCCATGGGAATGGAAACCCCCCAAAAATATGAACGCCTCAAATTTGAAGGCATTGAGACGAACCAGGTGAAAACTACGTTTCTAAGGAATGGTTTCCATGGGTATCAAAATTCTTTAAAATTACGAACTCATCAAACTTGAATGCTGATTACAGGAGGACAAATCCGGTGAAAATTACCTTTCTCTTACATTATTTCCATGGGAATATAAGTCCTTTAAAATTATGAACTCCTCAAACTTAATCATTACAAGCTCCTCAAATCGGGTGAAACTATACACCTTTTCTTGAATGTTTTCCCTGGAAATGAAAACTCCTAAAAATTATAAACCCCCTAAATTTACAAGCCTTCTGACACCAGGATAAACCTTTCTCATCCATATTTTCCCTGGAAACAATAATTCCTCATCAAAATTATCCCCCTTCCAAAAACTTTCTCCTTTCCCTTACAAATCTATTAACTTCATCGACTCCTCTCATACCCTTCCAACTTTCCCGCATTGTTTACCACTTCTCTCTCTCTCACTTTCTCCGAAAACAATTGAACTTTTCGCACTAATAGAAAGTGCCAGTCAACATGATGCAAATATAGCCTTTGGGGAAAGCGAGAGGATACATAAATATCGCTCCGTCAGCCTGTCTGTCTGTCTACCAAGTAAGTAAGCAAGCAAATGTGTGTGTGTGTGTGGTGCCGCAAGATTGGAGAAAGTCATGTCCTGGTAAAATGTTAAGTTGTCCGTGGTGCATAAATCAGCCAGCGATCCGATTTCGGGTGTGCATGTTCACGTGAGACATGAGCTCCGAGGCAAAATATTGATTTATTAGGAGTCAATAATTTTAACTCGGTGGTTTGGTTTTCTACCTACTCGAAAAAAAATAGAAAGCAAAGTGGTTCGTGGTTTGGTTTGGTTTTTGGTGGTGGTAGTGGAGTGGAAAAAGGAGTGTATAAATATCGAGTTGAGTTAATAAAATGTGGATTAAATGGACAATGGAAGGTATAATTTTCTATCGGAATGAAATTGAAATTTTCAATTTGTCGCGTGAATAAATTTGAATTTGTGGGATCATTGTTTCCAAGACGTTTGTAGTTTTCGTAGTTGAAGTGAAAAAATGAGTATATAAAAATCTGGAGTAAATAAAAAAGTGTAAAGAAGAAAATGGACAATGAAATGCATAATTTTATTTCGGAATGAAATTTACATTTTAAAATTCGAATTTTCAATTTGCAGCGTGAATAAGTTTGAATTTGTTGAATGCTTGATGAGTAGAACGTGTCAAAATGGCGTTATACATATGCTAATAATTTTTTCCAGCTTTGGCCCTGCCCTTTATTGAAAAATTAAACCCAATCTTAGCATGAAATGTCCCCAAAATACTGGACATTTATTTATTTCATGCTCTCCAAATGTATACATGTACTCTGAAATAAATTAGTATTAGTAATTTAGGACCACACGTCGTCTCTTTGAAACTGATTTATCTCCACGTTTGCTTCCAACCAAGAAAATAATCACTTTCACCCTTGGGAAGAAAGCGTACTTAAGATTATTACGTCCCAATGCGGTGACAAGCCTAAAAAATTGCGATTTTCTGGTTAATATATAATCAACCTGGGATTATTTTCCAAAGAAATTAACTAGGTCTCCCTCTTCGAAAAAAATTCAAGGCCAACCTTGAGTTAGGATGGGGTATAAAAAATCGGAATTTGGGACATTTTATCGCAAGTAACAGGCCGAATTTATAGAGAAAAGGAATCTCAATTTTTGGTCGATTTTCATCCAATTTTTGGTCGATTTTCACTCAAATGTTGGTCAACTTTCAATGAAATTTTTGGTAGACTTTCACTGAATTTTTGGTCGATTTGCATCCAAATTTTGGTCGACTTTCACTCAATTTTTGGTCGATTTTCATCCAATTTTTGGTCGATTTTCATCCACTTTTATGCTCATTTTGACCCAAAAACCCTATCTTTGTCAACGTGAAAGCACGTGTTACACGATTTTAACCAAAAAACTAACTCCATTGCGATATTTTGTAAGAAAAACACGTGTTAAACCCTTTGAAAACCGGAAATCTTTCCACATTCCCCCCCCCAAGCTCACCTTCGAAAAATTTCCCCCCTTTACAAACCCTCACCCTGCAAATTACACAAGTCCAAAATTTCAGAAATTTTCGAAAAACCAAAAACCCTTCCAGAAAATCCCACCTTTCCCTAAAAGAAAGTATGTCATCACCTACGCCTATTGAGCGGAACTCAGGTAGCAAAAACATCACCACATCACATACCTAGCTATCGTCACGTAACAAAGTTTAATCCAAATTTGTAAAGTGTTTTGGTGTCCTTTGAAAAGCTAAACTAAAAGCTTTTACTACTCCGCTCCTCTCATCCCATCAAAGATTACTTTATTGTCTTTTCCACTTCAAAGGAAATGCGATGACGTATCTCCAGAGAAAGTTGATCCAATCTCGAGATGTCCCAAAAAAGAAGAGCAGAAAATTGAGTTCCCGGCGATAAGTTGTTTTTTATTTAAAAAAGGAAAACGAAATATGTTGACGGATACATAACTGGGAAACAAATGGGATCGAAATTTCATTTGCTGCTTTCACTCGGAGCGAATTTGGGACATTTAATATTCCTTTTTTTGGTTGAGGAGTTGTTTATGAGACGGTTTTTTTGGGATAAGTGGGATCGCAATTTCCCTTTTAGTGTTTTTAACTGGGGAGGAATTTTGGAGAATTTCTGGAGATTTAAAACTCTTTCTTTTTTAGTTGACAATTTTTTATGAGATGTACAAGTAGGATCGAAAATTCATCTTTTTATGTATTCTTTGTTGAAAATAATTTTTGGACATTTAATATTCTTTTTTGTTGTTAATTTTCTGAGGTTTTTTGATAAGTAGGATCGCAATTTCTCTTTTTTGGATCTTTTTTTTTACTGGGAGAGAATTTTAGACAATTTTCACACCTTTAATATATATCGTCTTTTTTGATTGGTAGTTGTTGATGGGATGTTTTGTTTGATAAGTGGGATCGCAATTTCAATTTATTTCTGACTGGAAACAAATTCTTCGTAATGTAGGATATTTGATGGCATTCAATATTTTTGCATGCACATATCGATCCAAAGTTATCTATCAAGATGTGCAGATTGGGTGAGATTAGGGAGAAAGCCAGGTCGTAGGAGTAATTATTCAATGGGAATGTTTGTTCGGCGAATATTTTCGGCTATTTGATTTGACGCGGCACCTTTTTGTTAGTTTTTTATTGGAAAGAAAATGGCATGTTATTCACAAAAGGGTTTGATATATTTCCCAATTTTTTAGATTACGGTTAAATTTTTAGCGTGTTGCTTATCTCAAATAGAGAACTAAAATTGATATATATTCTTGTAGATTTTTCAGTACTTTGCGTCCCTTATTTAAAAAATGGTCAACATTCAAACCTATTTTTACCAAAATATATAAAGTATTTGAACAAAGTTTTGTTAAAAATATAATTCGACTATAAAAACAATTTAATCATATATTTAAAAACAATTTTGCTCGAAAACTTTTGTTCTAACATTTTTAATATTTTTCAAAATACCTGCAATTCTACACCAATCAAACTGTTTCTTAAGAAAGCCTCGATCATAACAAAAAACATTCAACATTGCATTTTTTTTCTAAACTGGTGAACAAATACACATTTAAATTCGTACTTTCACCCTTCACATTTCCCCCACACATTTTCATACCTACCTAATTCCCACACAAATACTCCTCTCCACCATCATCATCAATACGTTTCCACTACACATAAATATTTATCCCTGCTCAAATAAACCTTTTTCCTTTTATCCCCGTGCGTGTAGCGTGTCCATAAGTGAGACAAAATTGTGCCCACAATTATACACATTTTTAGCCCGATTCCCTCCCTGGAACGCAGCCTAGCATAAATTCCACGGATCAGACATCCTCGTCACCATAATAACTCGTAATTCTCCTCAAATACTTATTTATGTACATACGTAAACCATTCCATTCCCGTGACTCGCAATTTTTTTGCGATAGCACAATACCAAATTTTTCTTTTTGCACAAATAACTCCGGGAAGATTTGACCCAACAATTACTTGCAAGGTTAAGCCTTTCGATTCATTCACGTGGTGGGCAAAAAAATCTATATCGGTTGCATAAATATGTGGAGAAAGCAGGAAACAATGGGTCGCAATTTTTTCGCAAATCTAAAATATATTTGCACAAATACCTCCAGGAAGATTTGACCTAGCAATAATCACAAGGTCAAGCCTTTCTTTTCACGTGGTGTGCAAAAAATCTACATAAATTCATTCGCAGAGAAAGCAGCAGACAATCCACGGGTCGCAATTTTTTCGCAATTCTAACCTACTTTTTGCAAAGAAATTTGACCCACCAATTCTTTCTCTCCCAACCACCCCAATTAATCGCAAGGTCAAGCCTTTCACGTGGTGCCCAAAAAAAATCTATATCGGCTGCATATATATACATCACAATCGTGGAGAAAGCAGGCAGCAGCAAGCAACGAGCAGAGCAAGAATGCGGCCACGGACAACTTTCTCTCGCTAGCTGGTTAAATATTTCCCATGCCGCAGACACCAATACCATGAATGTCGTGACCATCATCATGCATATTCTGGATAGACAAAGAAAGCTAGGGAAAAAGAAAGTTATCCAGTTACATACCTGAAACAGCTGCTTTCTAGTGAAAACAGAGAGATAGAGAAAGTCTTGTCCTGGGCTGGGCCGACGGTCGTTTTCTTCTTGTTTAGTTTATCGTGGTGGTGGCGGGTCGTGGAATGGAATTAGTGAAAGGTTGAGAGGTCGAGGTGATGGTGGTGGTTGAGGTGGTTGGGCGAAAAGGTGGGGGTGAAGGGTCGGAAGGTGAAGGAAAGAGAGAGAGAGAGAAAGTGTGAGAGAATAGGACGCAGGAAAGTGTTCAAAAACTGACGAACTGACCTGGACAGAGAGACAGAGTTGATTCCACCCGCACTGCTGGATACGTACTGGTTCGGCTGGAGTGAAAGTCGGCGCAAGGCAAGGTTTGCGGGAGCTGTGTGTGAAATGAAATTTCCTTTTCGCCCAAATATCGATTTCGTGGGCCCGAAAGAAGGCCGAGTCTCTTCGAGGAGGACAGCTTTCTCTCACAGTGCGTGAAACGGGAACCTGGGGCTCTGCAGAGAAAGCTGGAATTTTTTGTTTCATCCATCCGATGGGTCGTCTGTGTAGGGAAGGAAGTTAGTGCGGGAGGAGGAGGAGGAGGACCCCGACCTAGCTCAAGGAATTTAATTGAGGGCACCTTTTTCGACGAAAATGGGTCACCCCCAAAGGAGAGAAAGCGAGAGATGGCCCCTCGCAGGCAATTTTTGCATGCGAGTTTTCTTAATATTTTGATTATCCAATTGGGCTTCTAGTAAAAAACGTCATGAATTTTATAGTGAGACAGACATTAGTCAAAACTTGAGACAGTGAAAGCAGGACAGTCGCACTCAGTTTTTAAGTATCTAGGCACGTGAATATCTTCTTATTTTAATTCTCCAATTTTCACTACTAACTAAAAGCTATCATCAATCTTACCATGTGACTCCTAAAATTGTGACGGTGAAAGCACCACAGTCACACCCTTCTGGATGTGGAGAAAGCAAATCAAGATTAGATTCCCCATCGCAGATAAATGGCTCAGTTTTTAGGGTGGAAATTTTCCAATCGTTTCGATTCTCCAATTGGCCTACTAACTAAAAACCGTAATTAATTACACCGTTTGGCTGCAATTCGTCTAAAATTGAGACAAGTAACCTTCTCGGGGAGAAAGCGCGTCATGGTTTCCCTTCGCAAATGAATTACTCATTTCTTAACGGGAAAATTTCCGTCTATTTTTGCCTCTCCAATTGGACTACTAACTAAAACCCGTCATTAATTTTACCATACGTCTAAAATTTAGACAGTGAAAGCACAACAGTCACCTTAAGATTTCCTTTTACAGCTGAATGACACCATTTTTAACGGAATATTTTCCGATCATATTTTTAATAAGCTAGTAAAACCCGTCATTAATTTTCCCCTGAGACTCCCATCCATCCCTAAAATTGAGTGAAAGCTCGCTCCATCCCATGGTGTAGAAAGCACACCGCGATTTCCACCCGTCGCACCTGACCGCCTCAATTTTTACCCACTTACTTTCCGATCATTTCCACCATTCTACAATTGAGCTAACTAGTAGTAAAAGGCATCATTAATTTTACGTGAGTCGTCTGCTTTCACTCACTCGGTAAAATGGAGACAGTGAAAGCAGCAGCATCATCACGACAGTCCTACGTACGTACATACTTAATTGCCCAATTATGCATTTGGCAGGCAGGAGTCAAGAGATGAAAATAATTCTCATCTTTCTCTCCTCCAACCAACTTTCTCCAGTGAACTCACTCCACTCGGCACGACCAGCCAGGCCAGACTGGGTACGAGCGAGGAGCAGAGTGTCCAATTCGCGTAGAGCATTTATATTTTACACGGACTGGCGGAACTACTGACGGCAATCGGGGTGGTGGTGGTGGTATCATCCTGCCAGGCAGGCGGGCACCTTCCTGAGCTAAATGCCATCGTCATGACGCACATTGTGTGGACAAGTAGTCTGGTCGTCGGTGAAAGCAAAGGAGGCATTATAGCCATGTTAAACAGGCCATTTCACTTTTCATCTTTGGCGGAGAAGTGGAGTGCAGATCTGTAATTTCATTCTCTCCGATGTACTTTGAGGCAGGGGTGGCGGAAGAGTGGGGACAGGGGGGGGGTAATGTCCCCAAGGTTATGAGATGTCCCTATTTTCTCCCCGTGTTACAAACCGGTCCTTCCCCCAATAGTAATGTCCCAGATGTCCCCAAGATTGTTCGATGTATTGCATATCTGCCCATGTTATATAAACCCCTCCCTCCGCATATCCTACAATGTTAATGTTCCCAGATGTCCCCTCGGTTAATAGATGTCCCCATTGTATCCCATGTTATATAAATCCCTCTCCCATCCTGCAATGTTAATATCCCTACATGTCCCCATAGTAATATGTCCCCAATTACCCCCTTTTATATTCCCCAGATGTCCCCCATTTCGCCCACTGTTATATGTCCCCAGATATCCCCGCAAAACCCCTCCCTTCCCTATCCCTCAATGTCCCCACATGTCCCCACACCTTCCGCGGCCATTGGACTCTCTCACCCAACTTTCTTCTTCTTCTCCCCGTCTCAAAACAAAAGTTGTTTTCGACCTCAAACTTTTATCGAGTCAATCGTCCAAGAATCTGCTCCAGGCAGCCACTCGTCTGGATTCTATGTACTACTTTTCTCACAAGAAGATTAAGAAACTCTGCTCTCCTGACTTTTGAACTATTTGCATCCGTGCAACACTACTCATCAGCCAAACGGTGTGGAGTGGTGTGGTGGTTAAGTCAGTGTCGGTGGAGAAAGTGTGATGATGATACGGGACTAAATGAGCACAGACACGGGTGAAAGTTGCGAATATTTTTTTTCGGTAAGACACGTGCATGAGAGAAACGAGAAAAAAGCACTGTTGCGAATTCTGCAGAAAATTCTGCAAATGTTAACCCTTAGCCGAGGAGAAACGGTAACTATGTTTGGCGTTGCTGCGGGGCGTTTCGATGACCACAATTGTGATCATTCGGGAAGCCGAAAAATAATAAAAATCTTTCAAGTTCTAAATCTGGAAACTTCAAGCATATTGAGTTGCCTAGATTCGGGAGAATTTTTTTAAATGCTCAATTCGGGAGAACGGCAAAACGCGTCAGGTGAAAATGATTGCTGCGGGACAACGTCAATAAACGACATGTATTTAAAATAATGAATATCAACATTTAACAATTTGACATTGTAAAGCAAAATTCCATAACTTATGAGAATTATGACGACCACAATATAACACTTTAAAATTTAACATTTAAGATAACAAGAATTAAAAGTTTTGAACAGTGTGGTACAATTCAAAGCACGCAGTTGGACACAGAGCAACCTTACACGCTTGCACTGGAAAACGGTCTCTTTCCGTGGTTTCTTAGTATTTGGGGGTCCGGCTTGTTGTTTATTGGCACAAACGTGACAAATACGTCCGCCATGCTGTCGAGACTTAGTTGATGGGTTGTATTCCAAAAACTGACGCTCCGTTAATCGGTTTGGTTGGCCAGAAGAACTTATTGCGCAAATAGCTTGTGTTGGTTGCATTGATCCAATGATTTGGCGAATTAGATTTAGCCGAAATGATAGAAATTTGGTCTTCGTGCCTGGGTGTATCGACTTGAAAATGACGAAGGAGTTGAATATACATAGATCCACCAAGTAAAAGAAAAGAGTTTTATACCATTTCATGGATTTGCGACGAATGTTGTAAAATTTCTTCATCATGTCACTGTAATCGGTTCCTCGAGCATATTTATTATAATCCAACACTGTTTTGGGCTTCATAACTACACCTCCGCCATAACGCTGCGGAACGGATACCATTGAATGGTCATGACTTGTGGAGATCATGGAGACAACCTTCTTATCCCTCCAGTATTCTGTCATTACTCCTTGACATGATTTAACGATTATTTCTCCTGGTTTCATTTTGTTCGGACCTCGTACTGGTGGTGGGTCAGTGTGCTTCCTATTCTTTCGAAGTGTTCCACATATGTAAGTTGTTCTCTCCAATAGATATTTCGCCAAATTGGGAGATGTGAAGTAATTGTCACAGTAGAGATGATGACCATTATTTAAATACGGTTCCAGTAATTTAAGGACTATTGCACCACCGTATCCAAACGTTCTGATATCCGGAAGAAGTCGATCATCCTTTCCAATATAGATCATGCTGAATAGTACAAATCCTGTTGTTTCGTCCACTATAGAGAAAATTTTGACTCCAAATCGCGACCTCTTACTTGGTATGTACTGCTTGAAGGACAATCTTCCTTTATAGAGCATGAGACTTTCATCGATTGATATGTTCTTGTGAGCCCGGAGAGTATTTTGAAAGTTCTGCATACAAAGGTCCCAAATCTTCCCCATTTTTTGCAATTTGTCTCCATTTGGCTGAGTATTATCCGAAAAGTGTAAATACTTCAATATTTCGAAGTAACGATCTTGCTTCATAATTCTCGTAATGATGGGATATTGTAGAAGTGGATCCCTAGACCAATATTGCTTCATTTCAGGAAGTCTAGTAACTCCCATCAGCATTCGCACAGCTATTAGTTTCAATAAGTCTTGCTCGTCAAGCTCTCTCCAGTTGCTCCATCGTCGTGTGCTGCAATCTCCAGTCTGGTCCGCATACGTGTTGGTTTGTTGGATCACTTCTTGCCTAATTTCTTTGGTAAATAGTTTGAGGAAGAGGTCCAGTTCCGTTTCTGTTCTTGAAAATGGAATTGTCCAACCGCTTATCGTGTCGTCAAAATCGGAAACATCTGCTTTAAAATTCGGATCAGTTTGCCATTGCCAAGGCGCAGTGCATCCCGTCAATCCAAATGGAGTACCGGCAGTGAGTGCTAGGTGTCAAAAATTTCAATATATTAATATGCAAACGGGAAAGTAGAATCAAAATTTCGTACCTGGTGACGCCAAGGCAGGGTCAGCAGATTCATCATCGTCCTCGCCAGGGTCACTTTCGTCGCTCGTGTCTTCATTTTGCAGGTCACTAATTGTGAATAGTGGACCTGAAAATTCGGATGTGATCTGTGAAGTTTGTTTGAATATGACGATTAGTGCATACTTACTATTTTCACAGTCTTCGTCACTGCTTACTGGATCTTCTTCAACATCTGCGAACATGTCCGGTGACCCCACTTGTTCTTCCGAATTGACATCGCGATCCATCAGCATATTGTATAAGTAATTTTCGTTATTTGGATCCATTTTCCACAAATAAGGATGTTTGTGATGTGTGAATTCGTTTTGAATTTATTAATTTAAATTAATTAATTTACTAATTTATTTTAGTTTAATTTTTAGTGCCAACGTGTTTTGACGTTTCCCGAATCTGCTAAAAAAAATTTATCACGGAAATATCCGTTGTCCCGCATCTGACGTGAAAACGTGAAAAGCCGTTGACCCCGAAGGCAGACACTTTTTTTATTAACGGCTTTTCACGGCTTTCCGCATTAAAACAAAAACTCCAAAACGTTTTTAAACGGTCTCCCATGGCTAAGGGTTAATTAAGTATGTGTGGAGAAAGTGTGATGATGATACGGGACTAAATGGGCACGGACACGGGTGAAAAGTATTTTTTTGCGGTAAAACACGTGCATGAGAGAAAGAAAGAAAAAGAATCTAGTAAAAAATCTAGTAAAACCACTGGTTCGAATTCTGTAAAAAATGTTAATTAAGTATCAGTGTAGAAAGTGTGGTGGTGATACGATAGTAAATAAACAGACCCGGGAGAAATTTGTATTTTTTTGTGTACCAAGACACGTGCATTAAACAAAGAAAAAACGAAGTGAGTAACAATTGTTGGGTCGAATTCTACAGTAATCGAAAAAAGCGGGATGCATATTGTAGTCTGCATAAATCTTGCTAACATAACATTGTTTAATTGTATCACAATTTTTACAATATTGAAATAGTAAAATCTAATTATTTCAGAAGTACGCCAGGATGCCTATTGCAAAATTTGTACAAAAAAGTAAGTAAAATGTACGGCAGTTTTGATTTTTACGTGGCATTCATTTCTAACTTTTCCATTTCAAATCTATTTCAGTTTGCAATTGTAAATTTGAATTTGGAATTTTTAAGTACAAATTGAGATTCTGTGAAAGACAAAATATTTATACATATTTTTCGCCATAAAAGTAAATTGATTCCTTCAGGCAATATTGACATTTCTGAAAACTTTGGAATTAGGAGGAATTTAAATTTCTCAACCTAATTGAAAGAAAAATCGTGTTTCTGAAATGTATAAATAAATCCACATTGTTATATCATGGGTTGAATTGAATGAAAAAATGCTCACGCTTCATGTGAAAAGGCAAGACTTTCAGGAAATTGATATATTTTACAAACTACATATATCAATATTTACAAAAACATCGTGCTAAATACTAAATTTATAAAATTAAATTTTGAAGTCTAAATGTAGATTTCGAAATTCAAAAATTCAAATTCAATTGAAAAACTTCAAATTGTCAAAATTTAAAGTTGGCAAGTACTAACTTTACATTTTTTTAAATCCTGCTCAAATCCAAAAAAAGAATTACCTCCAAATAATTAATGTATAACTGAGTTCAATTCCGTCCACGCGAAAACGTGTCTTTACACAGAATTGCACAAATGTGAATTTGCAAAACATCTATATTGACAGAACCAAACACGAATCACCTCTCTCTCACAAAATGCATAACTACATTCAAATCCACGCAAAAACAGGCCAAATTTATTGGACAAATGTACAAATGTATGTGACGCCAATAATAATAGTGGATCAAAGCCAATTCCCCTTATATCCAGCAGGCAAATGTTATTACACAGAATTGCACAAATGCGAGTAAAAATGTTTCTAAAATTTCAGCACTTGTGAAAACATCGTACTGAATACAAAATTTTGTAAAAAAAATACAATTTCCGAACTCTACAAGACTTATTAAATACCAAAGTCTACATTTTTAAAAGTTCCGTTCAATTCCATAAAAGAATTACATCTCACAAAATGCATGACCACATTCAATTCAATCCACGCAAAAACATGTCTTTACATAGAATTGCACAACTGTACATAAATGTACATAAATTTGCAAAATATTCCATATTTACGAAAACTTTAATCCTACATTATAAAAATTTCGAAATCTCTGCAACTTATCAAGCACGTAATAAAAGTCATACTTAAATCCAAAAACGAATCACCTCTCTCTCTCACAAAACTGCATAACTACATTCAATCCTTGCAAAAACAGGCCAAATTTATTGGACAAATGTACAAATGTATGTGACGCCAATAATAGTGGATCAAAGCCAATTCCCCTTATGCCCAGCAGTCTCATTCATCATCACACACACAGGAACACGACATGGTAAATGTATGTACATAAGTTGAAACCAAACTCGAGACGACTCGAGAGAGAGAGAATGTTTTGCGGTTAAATATTTGCTCTGCGACCACAAACTTGCTCCACAATGACAACAACCCGTCATTACGCGTAACAAGGAGAACCAACTATTTATTCACCGGGTTTTTCATGCAAACTTATCCCGGGCATCGAGCTGGTTGGATGAGAAATCCCTGTTTTTTTATTTTTGTCATGTGTATGTATAGGTTCAAGGACTGAACAAATGTGGCAGAATTTGAAGTACTGTTTAGGCACCTCATTTGCATAAATGTCACAATCTCGTGGTTGGTGTAAGTCTTAAATGAAAGTTGAATTTATGTGGCATGTGTCGAAATATGAAGGGTGAAGTGCAGAAACATGAATGGTACTTTGCCCAGGATTCTGTATATAATGGGAATGACAAGATATTGCGAAAGGGGTTCAGAGCTGGGCAAAATACTTTGTAAAAATGTAGAGTATTTTTTGAGGTCGTTGGTTTGGATTTCCAGCACTGTTCGAGCTATAAATAGTGAGAATTTACATAGAGAATTATTAGGTGCTGTCAAGATTGTCGAGAAATTAGTTTTTTGCCAATTACTCATTCTACTCGTTTGTCACTGTGCATCCGATTTTCATCAAAATCAAGGCTTTAACTATTTTTTATCATAATCCTGCTAATTCTGCTCCTCTACCTCGACAATTTTTTAAATTTTGGCCAAATTTCAAGTATCTCTAGAATTATGATGAATTGAAAAAGTGGGTTTGAGCATTTTTCCGCTCATTAGTATTTTTTATAGCTTGAGAGCCCCTATTAACACGTACGATTCTACACGTGGATTGTCTTCTTTTTTGTGCGCATAACCCCTGGAATTCCAAACTTTGAAAAAAACCAAGCTCAAAGCATAAAGTATTTTCCCATCCCTGCCGCCCATTTTCCCAGATCCAGGGCCGACATCCATCCATCCATGCTTCTCGGGTAGACCAAACACCATTTAACATTTATGTCGAGATATTTACCACTGAGCAAAATAAATATGAGTCTTCCTTTCCCCTTCATCATAACAAGTTACCCAATATAGTAATGTTTTATTAAATAAGCTATTCATCCATCCACCCATCCACCCAACCAACCAACCAACCAACCATCCACCACTACATACACTTATCAAAATTAAGACACTTTCTCCAAGTTCGTATTGTGGTGGTGGTGGTGGTAGTGGAAATTTGTACAATTAATCAATCCAGTGAAACAAAGGGTACATATGATGCACGTAGCTCGCTCGCTTTCACTCTACTTTCACCACACAAAGACTTTCCTACGCTCGAGCAAATCCTTCCGTTGGTTGAACAGAGTTGGAAATATTTGTGGGTTTGAAGAGTTCTTCTTCTTGGAAATTCTTCGTGTCTTCGTCGTCTTCATTCTGATGCTGCTTTTCTCCTCCGAAGGGAAAGTCTGAAATAGAGAGGAATAAATAAAATGAAGTACAATTGTTTTGGAGAAAGTGCATGGGCAGCAAAGGAATTTTTTTAATGGAGAGAAAGAGAGATTTGGTATTTTGGGGGGTACTTGGATCGAATTTTGGGACCTTTAAGGTTTAAAAGATGTGTTTTATTGACAAGTATTTGTATTTCATGGTCATGGGATAAAAGGGAAAGTCTGAAATACAGAGGAATAAATAAACTGCAATCGTTCTGGAGAAAGTGCATGGTCACTCAAGAAGTTTTGTAATGGAGAGAAAGAGATGCGGTATTTTGAGGAGTACTTGGATTTAATTTTGGAATCTTTTTAGGTTTAAAAGACCTGTTTTATTGACGAGTATTTGTATTTCACGGTGGTGGGATAAAATACAAAGTTTGAAATGCAGAGAAATAGAATGAACTTCAACTGTTTTGGAGAAAGTTCATGGGCAAAGGAATTTTTGAGACGTGACGAGCGATCCTCAAAACGGAGAGAGAAAGAGAGAATCAGTATTTTGGGGAGTTCTTGGATTGAATTTTTTGGACCCTTTTAAGTGGCATTTTATTGACAGCTTTCACCAAGTATGTATTTAACATGGGTGGGGTAAAATACTTTGTAAAAATGGACCGTATTTTCAGCCCAGTTCTTCCCATTAGGAGCTGTTACTCCCACAAAATGATGAAAATTTACATAGAGAAAGCAACATTCGTACGAACATACAGTTTTTTTTAGAGAATAACTTTTAATCGCTGTCAAAACACTTTACTTTCTTTTAATCGTCAAGACTAATGTATTTTGACGATTAAAAGCTAAATTCTTCAAAAACCCTTTACTATCGTACTTTTATTGCTTTCTCCACGTAAATCTTCGTCTTTTTCCCTCTATAAAACCCCCCGAAATCCAAACCCTTAAAAAAATACTGTCCATTTCGACACAAAGTACTTATTCTCATTGGAGTCTCAAACATCACAATTTTTCAAATTACCCTCCCCCCTTTAAATTCCCATTCTTACCCACTCATCGGGGCAATTCAACACAAAATCCGCCCATCAAAATCCTGCCTGCACTTTCTCTTTCCCTTTCCTTCTTTGTTTCACGAATACTTTGTCAACAAAAAGTCTGCCTCCTATTGAATTGAATTATGAAAATTTTTGGCAAATATTTGCCCAGTATTTGGCCCGCATTATGTGCATCCCCGGGATCTCTCTCGCTCGCTATATCAATAAACTACTGGGGAGAGCCCAGGCTTCCGGTAAATAACTTTTAATTTGCACATACCTCGAGCTCCCCTCCTCGCTGCTCCGAGGATTTCGCGGATCATGTTTCTTTGCACTTTGATTATCATTTTGGCCGGAATGTTGACCTGCTTTTTTGGACGTGGCTCCCGAATTCCGTGTTGATTGATTATTTGATTATTTATTATTTGCCATACGTCTGTCAGCAGAGTTAACGAGAGTTGCGACGGCTCTCCTCCTCCATTGTTTGGCGGATCTGGGGAGCTGGAGCTGATGCTACCCGGGATTATTTTATCGTCGGCTAACACCACGTCGTCCTCCGACCGGGTGGTTAGATTGATCTGTGACATTTACAAGTTAAACTTAATCGAGGCGTTGTTCTATTCTCAGGGTGAAAGTAGGACACGTGCTTTCACCTTGGGAAATTTCACAGATTTTTGGGGTAAATAATGGAAAGGAAAATGGACCTTGGGAAATTTTCAGTGTGGAGATTATAAGGTTAAATAGTGGACATGAAAATTGGGATTATATCGAAATAGTCAAAATTAATTCGTAGAATTGTGGAGATTTTCACCCTTTGAAGGGACAGAGTTTAATGTACTTTTTGGAAATAATCCAAATTTTTGGGCTAATTTTTGTCCAAAAAATTTCGAGGGTGATGTTTCGTATGGTAAAAACTGTTCTGTTCCTAGGGTGAAAGTAAAATATGTGCTTTCACCTTGGGAAATTTCCATCGAGAGATCTTTTCGGTTTAAAATAGTCGACAGAAAATTTAGAATTATTTCAAAAAGGAACTTAACTCCCTGCATGTTCAAAATATGCAAAACTTGTGGAATTAATTTTTCCCCAAATTTTTTGGGTTGATTTTGAATCAAAAAAATTTCGACGAATGTCTTTCACAGGGTGAAAGCTGTCGCCCGGGGAAATTAATTTTATCACCCTCTAACACCACTTTGTCCTCCGATAGGAAGGTTAGATTGATCTGTGACATTTACAAATTAAACTTAAACGAGGTGTTATTCTTCCCAGGGTGAAAGTAGGACACGTGCTTTCACCCTGGGAAATTTCACTGGGCATACTTTTGGGTTAGAAATAATCTATACAAACATTGGGATTATTTTGAAAAATAAAATAGTTAATTCCGGGAATTTTGGAAATTTTAAAGGGGTGGAGTTAATTTCTATTTTGAAATAAGCGGGGGGGATTTGTGCCCCAAAAAAAAATTTCCAGGGTAATATTTCACATGGTGAAAGCTGTTCTTCCAAGGAGAAAAACTGATATTTTGGAGGTTTTCACTAACTTATTCATGGGGAAAGTTAATTTCGTTTTTAAAATAATGTAATTTCTTGGGTTAATTTTATACAAAAAAAATATTTCAATTGTGATATTTCACACGGTGAAAGCACGTGCTAAGGGCATGTCCACGATTTAGGATTTTTTAAATAATTCAAATTTTGGGCTGATTTTTAACACGAAAATTTTTATGATGATATTTCCCAACGTGAAAGCACGTGCTAAGCCCATGTCCATGATTTGACCTACAATGATCAGAATCTCGAACATGTTTAACCATTTATTTTTTAGTAGGAAAAGAGACATTTCTTTAATTCAGAAATGTCCCCAGATTCATAAATCATGCGAAACAATTTGATCCATCCGGATTATAAATGATGTTTCATTCCTACGGAACAAAATTCCCTCAAGGATTTTATGGCAAATCGTCCCATTATTTTCGTAGTGGTAGAATAACAATAATTTTCCAAGTGTAAATAAACCGTTGCAAACCAAATGTAGCAAAGGGGTGAGAACAAGTGGGATATCCGTGTCTTACGTTAACTAACTTCTAAAACTTGACTTTTGACCTTTGACCTCGTTTACACGGTTATTAGCTTCTCGTACATAAAAAAAATATAGGTTCCTCTTTAGCCTCCTCCTGTGCAAGACGTGTCTCTCTCTCGCTCTGCATCTGGATCCTCTTCCATCTGGGTCGCGGGTGTGCCAGGGCCAGTTAAGTGTGTCCCAAGGCTTTTTCGCCATGTGAGCCTCGTCCACTCACTCCTCCCACCTGCGTGCCTGGTGACACCCCCTGCCACACCCGTCCCAGCAACGACAAGCTGAGCCATCAGGCGAAGATGGATCTCGTCGGACCCTGTGCACTGGAGGATCTACGCTTTGGAGGAGCTCCCCCAGGTAAGACCTTTGTTTGATATGTTGGGGTGGTGAGCATGTGGGAGTGGTCGACGGAAGAGTGAGTGTGTGCAGTGCTGGTGGGGGCGGCTGGGGTAGGTCTACGGGGTTCCCATGACCTAGTCATGTGCTGCGGTGGGAGAGGTTAGTTTGTGGGGTGTTTTATGGCCCCTTTATGGGGTCACTTAGGCCGAACCCTGATGGGTCATTTGTTAGTTTGTGGTCCATGGACGCTCCGCTCCAGCCCAGAACCCGTCGTGTCTCCGCCAGCACGGCGCCTATTCATTTGGATGTCACCATTTTTCCTCATATGTAAATCGCCTATAATCTCTGTCTTGCATTGGTCGAACCTGGGTTTTACAGGTAGTCAGGGCCGAATGGTGAACTGGGCATCATTCCCAGTTCAGGTAGAGGTTTTCCAGACCGACCACCAAAGTCTGGTTTTCCCTCTACTCCCCTGACTACTACTATCACAATTATTATAATCTAAAATTTGACTTAACTATGTAACTAACTATGTGATTGTGACTTGCAAGAGCTACTGGCTATTTATGCAATAAAGATACATACATAAAAAATATACCGATTTCCGAAATTCTTGCTTCACACTTCACACTAAGTGATTTGGACAAAAAATTCGACATTTTTTACCCTTGACCTTGGCGCCGTGACCTTACGACCTGCAACGCCCATCTTCGAACTTATCCTTTCCCCAAAAATTAGAAGAACATTGGTGAAGAGAGAGTGTTGGAATTCTCATTAGTTCTAAAGTTATCACGGATACGGACAGACAGACGGACGGACAGACAAGACATTCCCATAAAGGGTTCATCACCCCTCAACAAATGGGATTATACTTACATCTATGTCGCCATTGTCAGTTCGTGTCCTTTCTAAACTTATCATGAACACAGACGGACGGACAGACAGACAGGACATTCCAATAAAGTGCTTTTCACCCCTTAATAAACCGGATCATACTTACATTTACGTCACCATCGTCAATTCTTCTCCGTTTTAACCTTTGCCATTGATACAGACGGACAAACAGACAGACAAAACATTCCCATAAAGTGGTTTTCACCCCTTAAAATAACTGGGATCATACTTACATCTTCGTCCCCATTATTATCATCCTGATTTCCCTCATCATCCAGCACGACGAGGGAAACGTTCGTCGCCATCGTCGAGGTTTGCATTACTGGAGAAAGTTGCGGAACGGAGAAAGTTGCCCCGATGTGATCGTTCCTGGGTCGCATCACGTTGTGAACTCGTCTCATCTGCTGCGGAGGAGAAAGTTTCCCAAATTTCGGGCCTGGAAACGTGACAAGTTGAGGAATCCGGGCAGTCATGGGTTTTCGGAGGAGGAGAAGTTCCCGCAATGCATTGTTCTTCTTCTTCATGGGACGCTTGTACATTTTCTGAAGGGAAACTGGGAAGTGAAAGTCAAGTTAGTATTAATTTCGCTTTTTTTGCCGTGAAAAAAAAGAACGTGCAAGAAATTACTGCAAAAAATTGTGACTTTTTACTGAAGTATTTTTTTGCAAGGGTGAAAAAATGTACGAAATGAGTGCCGTCTAGCCGATAATTCCTGTATTAAGTGTGTTAAAAAGGGTGTTACGCTAGGTGGCGCTCGTTATTTGCGTTTATTTCCATTTTTGCAACGCAGGGGCAAGAAATGAAAGAAAAGGTGCAAGAAATGTAAGAAGAGGTGAAAGAAATAAAGGCAAAAGCGCAACAAATGAAAGAAAAAGTTAAAAAAATACAATAAAAAGTATATGAAATGCAAGAAAAGATGCAAGAAATGCAAGAAAATGTTACAAAAAGTGCAAGAGATGCCAGAAAAAGTGGAAATAATTCAAGAAATAAACAAGGTCCCAAAAACTGGGAAATCTTAGTGAGGGAGTGCAATCTCAACTAAGAAATAAAATTAGATTGCAGAATTTTTGAATCACCGCTCTCATCCTCGGAAATATGTCCCATTAATAATGGGATGTATTTCTAAAATCTAATGGTCCATTATATTTGATGTCAGTTAGTTAAGCACACTTCTCTTTCACTAGTAAAAAAGCATTAAATTCTCAATTAATGTTGGAGAATTCGTGCTTATATGTAAAGCAAAATTTACAGTGCATCCAGTGAAGATGATAATGAGATCGGTGATGCAAAAATTCTGCAATCTATTTTATTTCTTGGTTGAGATTTCTTGATTGCACTGCCTCACTAAGATTTCCCATTTTTTGGGACCTTGTTTATTTAAAACTTGTAATTGGGTTGTCAACGACATTATTTGACCACAGCACCTCGATTATATTTGCCTATAGTAATTTTACTAAATTTTTAGTTTTCAAAATTGAATAGCGTCGTGATTTCTTAACCGATTTCGGTCAACTTGGTCTTAAAATGATCCGAAGGAATCAGTGTAACTTTTTCCAATAATTTAGAATACTGCGATGCTCCAAAACTGAACTGTGGATAAAAATCTGACTCCGAGTGCAAATTTTTGTCCCTTCTCGCCCATAACTTGAGTAAAAATCAAGATATCCCTTAGTCGGATCAGAAATCATTTCAATATCCTCTAACAATGATCTGTGCAAAATTTCATCGAAATCGGTTGAGAAATGACCGAGAAATAGAATTATTTCACTTTTTTGGGGTGGGGTAAATGCATACTTCGTAATTTTTTTTCGTTGTTAGGTATTTGCCTCACTAAGAAAAAGGTCCAATCTTGAGGAAAATCCCTGCCATAAAGTTTAGTACAAAGGGTGAACCACTCATTTCTTGCATTTCTTGCACCTTGCATTTCTTGCAGTGTAAAAAATCAAATAATAGTATGCACCCTTACATGGCGGCATGGTCGTCACGTGGCGATGATACTGCCGCATCATTGGGGGGACAACCGGGAGCTGAACAAGGCACCAAAATACATATGTATAAAGCCTACAAAGGATCTTGTACTCATTTTAAGGACCTGATTTACGAATTCGCCCTCCTCTTCGGGCGACATCGACCCGTTCGAAATCCGGTCCGGTGGCGACGCACGGAAAACCGGGGTGAAAAAGAAGACGGGCAGGGGACCATTTTTCATCTCATCAGCTTGGGAGGCGGATATTGGCTTCATTATAAACGATAAAGTATACACAGATCCGTCGTATTTATGGTTAAGTAAGAAATTTCGCAAAAGTGAGAGTCCTCTACCGGTCAAAAAAGTTAATCACTACAGAAACTTACAGAAAATTTGAAAAAAAAATAATAAAAAAGCTACAAAAAATTTTAGACTACAAGATACGCCTATGATCCGGATGGCGGGTAATAAGTTTATTCCGATAAGAGTTGAGTCGGTTACAAATTTTTATAAATAACCCGTTGCTCGATCCGATTTCGGGTATTTTTTACCATAAAAAACACCGGATACTTTTGAATATAAAAAATTAATAGGTCGGACACTTTTAAAAAAAGATATGTAGACAGATTGGGTTGGTATTTTTCCAAAAAACGAATCTTGTCTATCGGAAATTTTTGAATATCCAAAAAATTTATCCGGCCGGATCGGATACTTTTGAAAATAAAAAAAACGGATCGATAAAAACGTTGATCCGACTCAACTCCGGTTTCGAAATAGCTATCGGAAATTTTGGAATATCCAAAAAAAATCATCCGGGTGAATCGGATACTTTCGAAAATAAATAAAAACATTGATCCGACTCAACTCTGTTTCGAAATAGCGCCCTCAATTGGGAAAGCTTTAATCATCCTCCTTACTTTATTAACAAAGGAATGCGTCCCACCATCTAAGCAGTATACGAAATCTATGCTCTATCTACACCAAATTACATGGAGCATCAGCATTAATTATTTCATGTTATTTTCTTTTCTCCTCCCGTGTTGTTTCTGTTCTCCTCGGGACGCTCAAGGCACTAATGAGATTAGTATTGACCAGGAATTGAGTCTACTAAATACGTGTCGAAAGGAGGAAAACGTGTGTAATCAATTTGATTACGGATTGTTTTTACGATGATAAGATACGTCGTTAGTTACTGATAAGCAACTATTTTTTTTGTATATTTATTTATTTTTATTTTTTATGTATAGGATTAGCATGGTGGTGGTGGTGCTTATCAAGAATTGATAAGCCGCCCACACACTCACCCACCCACCCACCAACCCGGGGAGGATTGATTACTCACCGTATTTACTACCCGTTACTTCTCATTAATAATAAAGCTATGTAAAGTCTACAATTTTACGGGGGGAAAATTTGCATACGCAGTTACATAGAGTACGCTAATTTTGTACACGTGTGTCTACACGGGATAAATATTTTACTTGTTTTTTAGTCACTGTTTCCACTGTGCACATATTTACCGGCGTCGTAAAAATAACCGAGGTATGAATTTTAATAGGGGTCAATTTATGAAATTCTACTCTACCACGCCTAAAAATACTACTACAAAAAAGTAGCCAAGATATTAGTTCAGAGGGCGGATATGTATTTATTTTCAACTTTTTTTTATAAATATTTTCGCTATTATTTCAAAAATACGTAAATCTTTTATTGATTTTTTCAAAAATACGTATAAATTTGAAAATATTTCAACGATGTGAGAAACATAATTTTGTTTAGAAATGCAGAGAAATTGGAAATTCAAAAATACAAATTTTTAGAAAATTCTAATTTTTGTCTTGTCGTATATGTAGATTTTCTAAATATTTGGCCTTTTTTTAAAATACATATTTCACCAATTTTTCGCAAATAAACAGATATCCGCCCTCTGAAAATTATAAATACGTAAGAAAAAAAGTACACAAATTCTACACACGAGCCGGGTTAGTTAATTACTCCCAATAATCCAATCCCATTACTTTTTTATTATTTTTACCAGGAAAAAAAGTAGTTTACAAAGTTTACGCTAATAGATATAAATAAATACCATGAATATGAATGACTAAAAGTTTGAGGTTAGAAAGAAATCCATTAGTTCACTACGATACCGTCCTTACTGCGTTTTCCTTGGCATCCTCCTTGACCTAGTCCAAATAGTAAATTGGTCAAACTCAAAATTGCGTCAAAATGACTATATGAATCGGTTTATAATCCGATCCGATCCGCCGATTATCCGATCATTTACTAAAAAAATATCCGATCCAATACTATCCGGAAATCTGATCGGACCCATGTAAATTATAGTAATTGATAGGATAAAAAATCAGATCATATCCGGAAATCAGCTCGGGTACATGTATTTAAATTATAGTAAATTGACGGATTAAAAAATGCGATCCTATCCGGAAATCGGATCGGATGCATGCAAATTATAGTAAATGGTCGGATCAAAAATTCCGATCAGACATTATCGGATCGGATTTACCAAAACTATGTAATGATCATTACTCACATCTTCCTCCTCCCGAAACCCACGTGCTACCCGTTTCAATCTATCCCGGAGAACGCCCCGTCTCAAGAACGGTGTCACATCACCACTGCCCGAATTCTCCCGTTTCGGCAGATTTCTCGTATGTACCCAAGCCGGGGGCGCGGCGGGGCTGAGCCGGGCATCCATTTGAGGATGATACATCTCATGTTGAAACTGGTTCCTGGGGGGACCTTGGGGTCTTCCAGTTGGGGGACCGTCATGCATCCCGCCGTACCTCCGCTGGGGGGGAGGAGGGGCAGGGGTCCCATCGTAGTCACGAACTGGTGGTGGTACTGCTGTTGTGGCGCCATTGTGGTCACGTACATGACGGGTTGCTGCTGCTGGGGGTGGGGGTGGTACTGCTGGTGATTATTGTTGTACTGCTGCTGCTGGGGTTCGTACCGGACCTGCGGGGGTGGGGGACGGGTCGGCCCCCCTTGGAAATAGTTCGACTCTGATTGAGGTGCGTACTGGTATGGTTGCATAGTTGGGGGTGGTGGTGGTGGGGGACCGTTTCGTCGTAAAAAGTGGGTGTCGGGCACTATTTGTGGGGAAAATCCGGGTTGTGATCGGTGGGGGTGATTGTCGGGCGACGTGGTGTCAACCGCTATTTGATACACTCCGGGCGCGGATTGTGGAGGGAACGGGAAGGTCAACCCGTTACCGTTGTACCGTTGCGGAGGTGCGGCTTGACTTTGTGGTGGGGACTAAAAAAGATAAGGCAACGTTCATGTACAGGGTGGTTAAAATGTCACGCTACAATGGAAAATTTTTCGATGGGGAAAATTCGTAAATTTCCATTAGTTACCGAAATTTTATCGCTAAAATTCAACATTTTAAGAATTTCGTCATCAATGCTCCATCAGTTTTGATAATAATTATTAAAATCTCAATCCAAAATCTTGTAACTAATGGAGATTTAGGGGTTTTTCCCATCAAAAAATTTCCCATTGTAGCGTGACATTTTAACCACCCTGTATTACGTCGAGAAAAGGTGGGTGGGTGGGTGGTTTACACTCAAAACAAAACAGTGTCAATATATGACTTAACCGCCTTGGTTACAAATGTGATTCCGAGTAGTAATGAATTTTTTCCGTCCGGTCATAACATTATAAATACCGATATCAAAATCATCAGAACTCGGATTCAACATTGTAACCATAGCGGTTAAGTCATATATTGACACCGGCGGAGTTGTTTCGACAAATTTTTATTTTGAGTGTAGTTTTGGGTCGCCTAGCTTACTCGTGTCAAGCTTAACATGACTAAAATTGGATGGGGAAGCAAACCGTGTTCAGCCCGGATTATTTTTTGACCACCTTCCCTTCAAAGATTAACTCTTTAGAAACACAATTTAGTTCGGGAATTCCGCAGATTGGAAAAATTCGATAAGTTATACGCCCTGCAAGTTCGAGAGACTAAGAAAATCTTACCTAATGCTCGATATTGTTAAAAATCATGCCTTTTTACGATTCTGTGTGCCCAAAAAAACCCGAATTTTTCGCATCTGCGCAATTCCCCGACTAAATTTGGCTTCTAAAGAGTTAGTCTTTGAAGCGAAAGTGGTAAAAAATAGTCCGGGTTGAATATGGTTCGTAAAATTGGGAAGATGTAAAATTCCGCGTTTTTTTATGACGTAATATAAGGACGTTCCCAAAGCGGATAGGATTTCAAAGGAAGACTGCATTCACTTTGTTTAGGTTTCATATTTCTTAAAGAGAGAATCAAACGTATGTAAATCGATGCTGTGACTCACCGCGAGCTTGTTATTGCCTTTGAAGATGAAGTGGGGCAGGAAGGAGGATCCCGAACCATCCATCGTCGTCGTGTCAATGATGTACGCGTTCTGCGGGATGTGCGAATTCCTAGGGAGAGAATAAAAATGCAATTTAAACAGGGTTCCCCGTGAATCACGAAATTACTGCAAGAAACTTTAACAGTTTCTTGCAGGAGTAAAAGAAATGCAAGGAATAAGTGGACAATCACTATAATTAAGTGCAATACAAAGGGTGCCCCGTTAGGTGGCGCTCTTTTCTTGTAATTCTTGCACCTTGCATTTCTTGCACCTTGCATTTTTTCCGGCATAACTTCTTGCACGAATTTAAGAAATAAGCGTCATTTTGCGTATAATGGCTATAGTTAGATGCAGTACAAAGGGTGACCCGACAGGTAGCGGCAATTTCTTGCATTTCTTGCACCTTGCATTTCTTCACCATTATATTTCTTGCACATTGTACTTTTTGCATTCATAATTTCTCACACGAATCAAACAAAAGAGTCCCATCCCCGCCTGAAATCTCTATAAGTCTAATACAAAGGGTGACCTACTAGGTGGAGCTCATTTCTTGCATTTCTTGCACCTTGCATTTCTTGCACCTTGCATTTTTCCCATTCATAATTTCTCCCACTATTCAAACCCATAAACCCCATCTAGCTTACAATCCCTACAATTAAGTCGATTACAAATACCAGGCGGCCCTCATTTCTTGCATTTCTTGCATTTTTTCCCATTGCAAAAAATTTGCACAACGTAAATTAAACCCTAAATTTGAACTTTCATGTCGAAAATTGTTCTCACATTTGGTGTGTCATGTCACTCAAGGCGACGATGTTTGGTTGCTGCTGCTGCTGGGGAAAGAATGCCTCGACGCGGCTGCTTTCTCCGATGTTTTGGTCGATAACGTGCTGGATTTGGGGCGTCTCGTTCGTCGGGGCAGCGCCACAGTGGTCCGTGATGTGGATTTTCCATCCCATATTCGGTCGAGAGAAGGACTGCAAGTCAACGTGACGAGAAAAACAGGGCATTATTTTTATCGAGATGTAGACAAATTCGGGCAGGGTTTCGCTCTGGTTTTATTTAAGCAATGTCCAAAAATAGCTGTTAAAAAGGGCTAGTTTTGGACACCAAATTTTGGACGCCCAAAATGTCCAAAATACGTATAACTCTGGACAAAATGTTCTAAGCCTTTCATTCTCAAAATTTTTGTTATGGCGATGTAAAAAAATTTATGATAACATTTTTTTGGACACTTTTGGACATTTTTGGATATATCAGATAGTTTTGGACATTTTGGCCAAAATTATTTTCGGCAGCTTTGGACGTTTTTGAACATTTTGGATAGTTGTAGACATTTACGACTTCCAAAATTATTTTTGGCAGGTTTGGACACTTTTGGTCATTTTTAATGTCCAAAATAATTTTTACTAGTTTTTTACACGATTTAGGACCATGCATGTCCAGTCCAAAAATAGTTTTTTTCCCCATAAAAAAAACGAAACACTAAATATTGCCATACCTGATAGTAAACAAGATTTGGCGTCCTTTTATCCGGAGTGAAGGAAAGAATGCCTGCATGAGAAAAATTCCATTTTGCATAAAATAAATCAGTGACAAGGAGAGTGAAGTGTGTGGAGTGGATAAAGGGTCGATTTGTTATTCTTCCGAAGGGCTTTCCCCATCATACATAACACAACATACATATGTAAATACGTGTGTTTAGCCGTATTTATGTAAATCTGAGTGGCCGCAGAAGGGTGAGGGGACAGGGGGACTATATGTGCCCACGGGGATTTGATGTTTCCATCATATGACCTATATAAACGTGGTCCTCTCCTATCCTGCAATGTTCATGTCCCCCGATGTCGCCACGGCTTCCGCGGCCACTGTTTACAGCCGGGGGACGAAGTCTGATGGAAACTTAATTGTGAGTGGAGGCAAAATTGGAGTAAAATTGTGTAATACGATGGAAATTGAGAGGGGAACTTATGCATTTTTTTGGGGAGGGGGGCACTATTTCCCCCCAATTTAAATTTATCGCGACACAAGGACAACATTATAATGGGGGGAAACATTTTTCAATAAAACATTTTACCCAGAATATCTGACAAATTTCATAAAACTTAACCAAATTTATGCTCAATTTGATTAGAGATATTTGTATAATACGCCTAAATTTCCGAAAACTGTGCTCAAATTGCGGTGAACACGCCTGGTAAAAGTTTCTAGTAAATTTATAGTCAAAAATGTCACAAAATCTGACAAATTTTGTAAAAATATATGCTCAAACTGAGGTAAATTTCTCTAACAAAAATTTATAGTGAATTTATCTAAAAAAATATTAAACAAAATTATGACAAATTTTGTAAAATTCTCCACTTGAGTTGAATACCCCTAATTCAAATTCATCCCAAGAATTTATCCCAAAAATGCTAAAAATTTCCACAAATTTCCCAAAACCCTCAACTTGACTTGAACACCCCTAATCCAAACTTTCTATCAAACTTATCCCAAAAACGGGACACACGTATTTAATCCTTTTCTTATTTGCATGCATGCCTCGCCTCCGATACAAACATAGTTCGGAAATGCAATTTGTGTGTATTTTTGATGAAACTCGTGCTCACCGGAATGTCCCTTGGCGCAGTCGAGCGAGAGGGTTCGCTGGTACGCGGCGTAGGAAGCGAAGGCGTTGGGCGACTCGGTTTTGGTTTCCACCCAGCGACACAATTTTCCCAGCGCGGTGGGCCGACCGTTCCCCAGAGGGTCCAACTCAACCCCGCCGAATATTCCGGGTCGCTGCAAATAATACATATGTACACGCGTGCATAATAACAATAACAAAAGAAAGGAGAAAGTTTCAAGTTTGCATTCCAAGGACGACGCCGAAGAAATTTTACGAGGCTGATAGGTTTCCAGAGTGGAAATGTTTGTAGGGTTGTACTTGGGGCGGTCATGTTGGCATGCCCGATTTGTCGTCCCCATTGAAATTGATGCTGATTTATGGCCAACTTTATAATAGGGAGACTAAACACTGGGTTATTTCGCAATTTATTTTGCAAAAATTTTTCCAAGTAATTAGATATACCCGATTTGCTCGCCCCCACATTGAGATTTATAATAGGGATACTCACTCACAACACCTACTTATTTAGCAAACCTTAAATAGTGTTTGCGAAATGAAATATTGCAAACACTATTTGAGGTAGATTTGAGGTAAATTCGTAAATCTTTGGAAAAATGTATAGCAAAATTTATAAATTTCGCAAAATTTGCTAAAGTTTTAGTGAGTATACATGAATTTCCTGGAAACTCATACCTCAAAAATTTATAAATTTCGCGAAATTTGAAAAACTTATACTTGGCTTTCGAGATTGTAGTGAATATAAATTTCCAGGAAACCTAAATAAATTCTAGCCATTTTTTGAAACCCTGCCCATCGTACAACTCTGCTCAGGAGAGAAAGACAAAAGAGGAGAAAAATGAGTTTGGAATAGTTTGAATTTTCTCCAACTCTGCTCTCAACTTTATGAGCTCGGAGTGCATCTTGTTTAGGAGAAAGCACACTTTCTCTCTTACATATGCAGCTTTATCTCTTCTCTTTCTACATCCCGGGATTTATTCGTAGAGTGGATTTCGCCAAAGTTTTCCATGCGATATGAGTCGACTAGTCTGAAAAATGCATGTCTCAATTGTAATATTCATCCCGTCCAGGTATAGGGTTTGGAAAATCTGTGGTTAAAATCACTTCATCACAATGTGATTTTATGTGATTTGTTAGATTTCTGTTACAGATATTATGCCACAAAATGTAAACTTGATATGTACGAAATGTGCCAAAAGAGTGGATTTCGCAAAACGTTTTTCATGCGATTTGAACCGAGAGGATTTAAAAAATTATATGATTTCTGTTATTATGCCACAAAATAGAATAGTGCGATTTATACCTATGTAAGTACAAAGTGTGCCAAAAGAGTGGATTTCGCAAAAACTTTTTCATGCAATTTGCACCGAGAGGGGTAAAAAATGCATGTTTCTCTCATAATATTAATCTCATCCATTTAGAAAATCTCGTCTAATTGCGGTTTTATGTGAAATATTTGTGTAATTTCTGCAATTATGCCGCAAAATTAGCAAATTTCTTTAATAGTCTTGTCCTAGAGTGTATTTTAAACAAGTTGTCTCACTTTTCCCACAGTAATACTGCAGAAATCAGAATTAGCGAACATATCACACATACCTGTTCAAAAAAACTTTTTTCATTCAAAGTTCAATCATTCCGAATTCTGACCGAAGATTTTCAGTCATTTTCTCTCAAACTCATTTCATTTCACTTCATCCGACTTCATTTCTTACTTCGCCCCATGGATTAAGCATAGGGTGAAAATGAAATGAGTGAAACATCCTTCATTCACAGTCATTCATCTGAAGTGACTGAATTTTTCACTCATTTTCATTCAAATGATAGAAAATTCATTTTCATTCACCATCATTCTCAATCATAACCAGTCAGATGAATGAAACTGAACAGGTACGATATCACGGCATGTTTAACTCATAAAAATCACGCCTAAAGTGTGATTATCACAGTTTTCCAAACTCAAGGCAAAATTTTACCCCGAAAAGAAAAAAAAGTAATAAGTAACTCAATTTATCCCCGGCTTAATAAAAATCTTCGCGTATCGTGCGTGGCCCCTGTTTTTTTTGCAAGGTCGTAAAAAACCCCGAAAACTGTTTACACCACTTACCCGAGAAGGATCAAATTGGGCATGTTGATAGTCCCCAGTTTGACTGTCGGTTATGTAAAACCCGTTATCCGGCCCGCCCTGGATCACTGGAAATAATAAAGATATTCGATTTGCATAACGGTTAACACGTGGGATGCAAATTATTATATGAATCTACCGAAAGTGTAGTTTTTCCCTCGGACGAGATGAATTTCCGGCATGAGGAGCCCGTTCACGTACCAAACGGTTTCGGGAAGGTCCTTTTTTCCTGGGGAAATAAAAATACGATTATTTTTTGCGTTTATCGGGAGTTATCGTCTTCCCAGGGTTTCGTTTCTCACGGGTTTTGCAACAAGCATTTCGTGCAGTGGAAAGGGAGAAATGCAAGAAATGCGATATGCAAGAAACTGGGAGAAAGTGGGAGAAATATGCGCCATCTAGCCACGCGCCATATGAAATATTTACAGCGGTGAGGCGTGTTTTTTTTTGCACCGTGCATTTCGTGCAGGTCAAAATATTTACCTGCAACAAACCACTTTCTTCTCCTTTCTTCTCCCACGTGGTTACTTGCACCAGAAACACTTGTTTTTTTTGCGTTTCTTGCAGTTAAGTGCAAGAAATGTGTGCAAAAAATCAAACACAATTTTTGAGTTCCAAACTTATTCAGAAAATTTCCAAGAAATTGCTTTTTCAGGGTTTAATTTCTTGCATTTTTGTTACATTTCATGCACTACAAAGAAAGCAACGGGAGAAATTCGAGGTGCACCAAACTGGGAGAAAGTGCCAGAAATATGCATCATTTAGCCACGCGCTGTAGGAACCATTTACAGCGGCGGATCATAGTTTCTCCCACCTTGCATTTCTCCCAGGTCAAAACATTCCCCCCCCAAAAAAACCACTTTCTCCTCCTTATTTCTCCCAAATAGTTCCTTCCCTCCGAAACCCTGTACAAATTATCGTTTTTCTCCTCTCCGCACCTGTGACCCCCTTAAAAATATCGGGTCGTCCAATCGGTCCCACGTGGAGATAAAAGACGCCATCATCCGGTTCTGAGCATGGAATTGGTGGGATTCGCCAGGCCGGGGGGATTATCGTCACGTCCTCCTTCTGCTGCTGGTGGGAGGCGGACGTGTCCTGTTCCACAGTGGTCAGTGGGGACGCCGTCGTGGTCAAAGTTGGGCTAGGAGGTGGTGGTGGGGATACAAATTCGGGCTCTTTTTCTGGTTCTGGACAGTTCCACTGGAATAACATGATTTCTTTAAATTGTGTTATTTTTTGGCAAAGGTGCAGAGATTGGCAAAATCCAGGATTTCTTATTTCCGTCGCTCTTACACCGAAAAAATGTGAGAAAATAAGCATCCAGAGTACAAAAGTCGTGCAAAAATACGTAGTTTTTAAAAAAATTAACGTTTTATCGCTATCAAAATACTAGTAATTTCACGATTTAAAAAAATACAGCCGTGCTAAACTGTGCGTTTTTTAAGAAATTAAATTTTCACCCCTGTCAAAGTACCTCATTAAAAATACACACCGATGCAATTCACGCAGTTCTTGATAATCTTCTAAAATCCGTAAATTCCCTAAACTTACAACTCTTGTAAGTTTAGGGAATTTTTAAGCAAATTTAGCTCACAAATGTTTGCAAATTTGCTCAAATCATGTGAGTCTCCCTATTCTACTAAAGCTTATAAAATTGGGGTATAAAACGTTCTAATTTTACAAAGTTACCAAGACCTGCGTGAATTGCCACAGTATATTTTAACCACGATAAAAAGTTAATTTCTTCCCAAAAACAGGTCTGTTTCGACTCACTGTTTCAGATTCTCGCCTCTTAAATCTGAACTCTGAGCTCAAAATCGTGCCAATTTTCCGCAGTATTTTGCCCATCTCTGCTATATTTCTATTTTCCTACCTTTGGCGATCGTCCAAAGTCGATGGAAATGTCGTCTCGGTTTCGAATTTCGTGATATCCCGCGAGATTGTCGGGCATCAGGTTGCCAATCGCCCAAATGATGGGCTGGCTCTCGTTCGTCCGAATCTTCTTGTCCAGTCCGTCCAAAGGCTGCAGTTTTCGCTGAAACGTGAGAATCGTAAAGCCATTCACGGACGCCGCACTTAGCAGCCGAACATTGTTGGCTCCCTCCTAAAAAATGAATGACCGTAAATTAGCATAAATTATGGTAATAGGTCAAAGCACTTGGGGACATCTCGGGGAAGATAATGTCAAAATATTGGGTGTACTCATTGCAAAAATTTCCAAAATTTCGTACAACTTATTCTTTAAAAAAAGATACCATTTTTGATTCCCAAAGCTTATTCAGGAAATGTGACGACCTTATTTCGCAAACTATTTCCGAATTGACGTTAGTACACACAAATATTTGCAAACCTATTTCAATCATAGTTTTGTGAAATTTATTGTGGGAAAACGATGTATTTTTTTGTTCTCAAATTTACCCCAGAAATTTTTGTAAAAATTGTGAAATTAAATCTCAAAGCAAGGAAACGTTTCCAATTCGTTTCCAATTAGTTTCCAATTCGCAAACTTTGAAATTTTGCAACGATTTGAACACATTTTGCCTGTGGAATGCTTGTTCCCAATTTTACACAGTATACTCATCAGCATAATTTCGCAAACTATTTGCAAAGCCAGGTAGACTGAGAGATGAGTACGCCCATTAGATTTCATATCCTCACCTTGAATCGAACGTCGGGACAGGCTCCTTTGTTGTTCTGCTGGCAGACGGACTTTCCCCCGAGATGATAATCCACCACGTTCCCACGTTGCGCTGCCTGGTCAAAATAGCCAACCATCGCTGCAAATAAATTCATACCAGTTAGTTACTCATCCTCCTCTTTTTTATGACCAGAGGGCGGATATGTATTCATTTTTATGTCAAACAGAGGGAGGATATACATTTATTTTCAACTTTTTCATTTGACCAACGGTCAAACTTTATCAGTGATTAACTCGCATAAATCGCAAAAATTTCAAAATATTTATTTCTAGGTTTTCCTCTCTTATCTAAAAAAATAAGTACGTAATTCTTTTAATTATTTTTTCAAAAATATATACATATTTTTGAAACTTTTCAACGACGTGCCTAAGGCGAAATTATTTTACTCAAATAAATCGAACCACAAAAAATGCAGGGCATTGTTTCCGAAAGTATAAATTTTTGCGAGTCTTGTGGATTTCAAAATTTTAATTTTTTCAGGGATAAATATTTCCTATATTATTGTTTTAAAAAAATTGTAGAAGTTTGATATTTTTTCAAAAATGTGTACTTATTTTGCAACAATTTTAACGATGTGAGACGAAATTCGATCATAAAAATCAACAGCGTTATACAAAGTTTTCAGAAATTCTTAATTTTTTCGTACATATTTTGGCGATTTTTTCTCCTAAATATTAAATACATATCCGCCCTCTGTTTATGAGACGAGGACCATTAAGCGTCTGGATTTATTTATGATGCTCATAATTTCATCCTGCTCACCGTCTCCACCCAGCATCACGGACCGGTCATCTTCCCCAGACAAGCCCACCGCCATATATTTCCCGTTATCTGAAAAACCAAAAGTAACCATTGTAAAAGGGGACATTTATTCATTGTGTGTCGGCTCATTCGACGTTACGTAATTCGCAGTGTTTCATTTCTTGCACCTTTCCTACATTTCCTGCAGTGCAAGAAACTGCAAGAAATAAGCACCACCTGGCTGGTCACCCTTCTAATTACCCCTAATAAAGATTTTCCACTATATTACGTTTATTTCTTGCATTTCTTTCACTCCTGCAAGAAATTATACCTTCAAGAAATTGCAAGAAATTCGCTCCACTTAGCGGATCACCCTTATACTAAACCTAATTACCGTAAAGACTCTATTTATAGCCGGGTCTAAAGACGACACAAATCCGTCCACAATTTCAAACCGGGTATAACTAGAAACCCGGGTAAATTATGTTTCGGTTATGCATAACTTAAAGCATCTAAAAACGGACATTAAAGGAATGCCATAATTAGGGACAAGCTTATTAAATTTTTCAAACTTGGGCTCAAGACCCGGCTATAAATGGAGTATTTACGGTATATAGATTTTCCTCCAGCTGGCGCTCATTTCTTGCATTGCTTTCACTCGAGAAATTGTGAGAAATTATGCATACAGTAAAAAAAATCACAATTTCTTGCAGTAATTTCTTGCACGTGTTTTTTTGCACGGCAAAATCCACACATTCTGAATGTCGGTAGGACAAATATCTATGCCTGTACGGCTCGAAGGAAGTGATTCCTCACACAAATTCTGCTTTACTCGGTCGTCTCGTCAGCTTTTTATAGAAGTTTGTTACCCGGAGCGAGCAGCGTACAATTACATATCTGTCTCAACTTGCCTCAAAGATAGATACATACTTTCGAGGAGAAAGTGCCCAGCCCAGTAATTATTACTGCACGGTAATAAATCCATACAATTCCACCCTCCCATTAAAAAGATCATAACACGAAGAATTATATAACACGTCGAAAGCTGCATAATCTTTGCTGAGGACAATGATAACATTGAAAGATAAGATAATATCAGGGTGGAGTGTGTAATATGATAGTAAAATTCGATGGGAACATACTCACGTCAACGTTTTAGTTAGCAAATAATTTGCGAAATAATGCCTCGCAAAATTAAGTCATTTTGATTTTTTGGGTAAATTTGTAACCACATGTCGCACACTTTTCTAGCAAATACATGCACATACTTTTTTTAATGTTGCAAATATGGGGTTCTCATTTAGCAAATAGTTTGCAGAATAATGGTACAAACGAAAAATATAAATACATTTTCAGGGTAAATTTTCACCTATTTTAATTTAGGATTAATTGCAATTTCTAAAGTATTTAATCGAGAAGATAATCTTGCAAAATGAAAATATGTATGCCCACACACTTGGTAAATTTGCGAAAAAAAATTCCACCAAAAATTGGGCAAAATCTTCGCAAATTTCACTTAACTTAACAAGTTTTATTGCTACATACGCTCAATTTGCGAGGTATGCGAAGAGGTACGCTCATGATTTTCATGCAAACTATATGCAAAATTTAGCAAAAAGTTATGCACAATTGCGAAATTTGACGTGAATACGCTCATTATTATTAGTATCATCCCCTCCCCCCCATCAAAATTCCCCCCTTGGTGCAGATTAAGCCATAATTTTTATCTGTTTTTATCGCTTACCGAGTCGTCCGACGAGCTGGAAGACAATGGTTTCCCCGCTTTCCACCACGGACCAGCGAATCTCAAAGGCCGCGTCTTCATGCAGCACTTCGCAATTCAACTTGCTCTACACACACATTAATAATTTCCCAGTCAGTTTATTATCACCCATGCGAGCACCAGTGGCCGCGGAAGTGGGGGGACACGCGGGTCCGGCACATTTACACCCAACAATTCTCACTCAAATCGGTGTAAAGTGTGAATTGTTGGGTGTAAATTGACACCTAAATCCGTGGGTTCGATTTCTGTTAAACTGGGGTACAAAATCCCGAAAAATTCTGAGAAATTTTCAAATTTGACATATGTAACTTCTTTTCCTGGTCGGGGGCATGAAATCCCTGAAAATTCCCGTAAAAACAGATCCTAAAGATGCTCAAAAATTCCCAGAAATGGTCAAATTTGACATTTTAACTTCTTTTCCTGATTTGCACCTCCTGCTTTTTCGCGAAAAATGAGTTTGCGAAAAACAAATCGAACCCACGTGGGGACATTAACATTGTGAGATAGGAGGAGGAGGGGCTTATTTATCTGAATTTCTGGGGCACAATATCCCCCTGGTCCGCCACCCCACTTCCGCCGTCACTGGTGCTTCTAGATGGATATAAAAGCCATAAAAACGACGTGGATGCAAATTTCAGCTTTATTTCGCGATAAATATTTACCCTTCTCTCCCTTGTTTATTACGCCAGATGCGATAAATTTGCACAGAATTATCGCATCCTTCCATGCATGCCATGCTTCGTTAGCTTTACGACCTGCATCTGGACCAGAGGACAAAAGAGAAGAGAAGACAAGGAGAAGAGTACTGTATTCATATACTGGAAAAGAGTAGAATGTTCGGAAATTCGGAAATTTATCACAGCAAAACAGATCTCAGGTGCATATTTTTTACCATATTTTCAACTAAATTATATTTTTTAATGGGAACAAAACGTATGTAAAAATAATACTGCAAAATGTCGCCAAAATTTAGCAGCACTTCATAAGTAATTGAAGAGGAGAAGAGTGAATTATTAATTAGTATGTACTGAAAAAGTGCAAAATATTCGGAAATTTATCAGACCAAGAAAGATCTCAGGTGCATATTTTTTACCGTTTTTATATAGTAAAATGTATTTAAAAAATAAAAACAAAGCATATTTTTAAAAAATTATGAAAAAGTACAGAAATATTTACCGTAGACATATTTTGTAATGGAAAAAATGAGTGTATTTATGTTCGTGATAAAGGGCAAAATGTTCGGAAATTCAGAAATTTATAAGAGAGATTTCAACTGCGTATTTTTATTAGCTACTAAAATGTACCCGTTTATTTTTAAAAAATGGGAACAATGCAGATTTTTAAATGATTACAAAAACTATGGTAAAAATGGTACAAAAATATTTACCTATGTATTTAGCACTTCATAATAATTAACTAATTAATTGTAATATGTATTTACATAATATCACACATCCCCGTGGCAAGAGAGATTTTCCTAAAAATCTTAAAATGGCAATATTCACTTGGCAAACATAACTTTTCCTATAAATTTATGTAAATTGGTAAAAAATGGAATTTACGAAATTCAATTTAATTTCAAGTAAATGATCACTTTGTAGAAAAAAGGCCTGTTTTTTTTGCACGCAATTTGTCAAGAAAATATGGCAAATTTAACATAAATAAATAAATTTGCATGTAAATCTCTTTTAAAAAATGTTTATAAACACTTACAAACTTTTCCCAAAATTTGTGTAAAGCAAGGTTGATTAAAAAATAATTGAATTTATGAAATTCGATTTGTCATGTAAATTATCACTTTAAAAAATACGTTAATTTTTTACAGGGTTTGTCAAGAAAATATGGCAATTACAGAAATTAATTTGCAGGTAAATTTCCTAAAAATATTCTTTAAAAAAAATATAAAAAATAAGAAGAAACTATAGCATAACAACTTTACATGTAAATTTCTTTTTTATAAAATCTAAAAAAAGAACAAGGAATCTAAAATATTTTTGAAATAAGAACAAGATTTGTTAGTAAAGGACATCCGACGTCGATATTCCCTTGCTCGTTCGGATGGTGAAAGTACTAAAACCGTTCGACCCCAGTCCCACGTGGGGCGTGGTCGCTGTCGCCGTCGTCGTCGGACTATAAATTAATCCGTTGTGACTCTGAGGAGAAAGTTGCTCTTGTCGATAAGTGAGCAGGTTTTGATCCTGATAAGTGTTCGGATGTATGTCATCCACGAACATGTAGTACTGCTCCTGGGGAAGGGGGATGATTGTCCCCTCTGGTACGAGGGGGGCTGGGTGACGTCTTGAATGAGTTGGGGGGCATCTTGGACGATTTGATGATTTTGGACGAGCTGAGGGACGTTTTGTACGATTTGGGGAGCGTGGTGATGATGCTGACTTATCGATGGCGATAAGGACGACGAGGGGGCGAGGGGGGGAAGCTGTGTACACAGGAAAAGACAGAATTTTGAAGAAATTACATACACAGGGAAAGAAGAAGTTGTGTTGTTGGTGTGGGTGGAAATGAAGAGGTTAATTAAAACCTGGATGCGATCTGACTATGCAAATTTCCATGAACGTATGTAGGACTGGATGTCTCATACTTAATATCGTCGCATTTTTAATCCTTTCTCCGCTCTGGGAATTTATTTTAAAATTCTGGACAAGTTTGTAGAGCAGGTCGTTACCAATTTTAAAAAAAATATACACTCCAAATTTTGACACTTTTTGGTGGAGCAGATCTCAAGGTTAAGAAGCCTTCAGAAAAATTGGAAATCGTCTAAAATGGCTCAAAAAACTCACTGTCAGTCCATCAATCGACTCACTAATTACGAATTTGTATTTCAGAATTTTATAATAAATTCCCAAATGATTATAAACGTGCTGATTTTGACCATTTTGGTAACAAGTCATCGAGTCCTACGTTAACCAATACCGGTAAAATACCGGTGAAAAATTCCCGTAATCGAAGTCACCATCCTTTCGTCACATACATTTTGATGCCAATTTTTAAAACTGCCCAAAATTTTGTGTCCATACCTGCGGCGCAACGCCCAACATTCTCAGCGAGGGGGGCACATTGAGCCCCGGGGTGATTCTGACATGACCAAAATCGATGGAATAAAGGCGACACCAGACGCCGAAATAGTCCACGTCAAACACCGTCAAGTCCCCGGGGAGGGAGAGAACCATCGTCTTTTTATCTGCCTTTTGTAACGCGCCATCCGTCCCAGTTTCGTCCGGGACGCGGACCCCTTGCGGTCCCGGGACGCCACGGCCCACCCAGAAATGCAAATCTGTAAATAGGTACACGTGACAACCAGGGTTCGGAAAACCCCGGGGTTTTTGTAGAAAAACCCAACCCCGGGGGTTTTTCCGGGGTTTTTGGGGTTTTTGTGGGTTTTTGGGTTTTTGTGGGTTTTTGTGGGTTTTTGTAGATTTTGGGGCAGGTTGAACCAGAATTCCTAAAATTATATATTAGAGATAAACTAATTTAGTATACAATTTTAACATGCAATTTTAACCGTTATCATTGATTTGGGCTTTTACATCGAAAATTCATGTTTGACATGTAAACCTGGAAATATGCTATGATATTTGGAAATTTAAGTCGCAATTGAAAATTCTCAAAATTTCAAGATGAAGCAGAAAAGTTAATTAGCATTGATCTACGTTGTAGTTTAAGAGATTTTGTTTCAATCTGCCTCAAAATCCTACAAAAACCCCGGAAAAACCCACAAAAACCCACAAAAACCCGCAAAAACCCCATTAAGCATTAGGGTTTTTCCGGAGATTTGATACCCCAAAAACCCACAAAAACCCCAAAAACCCCAACCCACAAAAACCCGGGGTAGCGAACCCTGGTGACAACCACGTGGTTAGAAATGAAGCACTTTTCGTCTCTCCAAGTTATTTGTTCCAACTGGTTACTTGCACACGAAATTATACGTCGTTACCAGGGGTCGTAAAAATTCAGTGACGCCGGTTTAGTAACTTTGTAAATTCACGCAACTCGTGGTAACTCTGTAAAATCCATGCGTTTTGCATTATAATTTTGCAAACTTTTACAAATAAAGATTCAACCTTAATCTGAGTATGCAATTTGTGACCTATTTTTCCTTCGAAACATGAGTAAAATTTTGTAAAGTTTGTACCTTTACGGATTTTACAATGTTACCAAGGCCTGCGTGAATTGTCTCACTACACTCGTGCATAGGGAGTGGCTCAATCCATCCACAGTGAGGCTAATCACGCAGGCCTTGGTAACATTGTAAAATCCGTAAATTCCGCGAACTTACAAACTTTTGCAAAATTGTACTCAGATTTTGAAGGAAAATTAGGTCATAAACTGCTGTAAACTTTCTCCGATCAAGGGCTGCGTCTCGTTATTTTTTTAAAATTTGTAAAATTATTTTACAAAATGCACGGATTTTACGAGCTACTAATGACGGCGTGATTTGCCTTTGAATTTTGAGTAACGTTCGTAAATAAATTGGCGTTTCATGAAGAAATTAATTTTCAAAATACCACACATTTTTTTAATTCTGGAAATGTACGTAGTGTTTTTATCTACGAGAAAAAGTTAATTTCTTCAAAAAAATGTGGTTTTTGTGGCTAAAATATCCCATAGCTCAAAAAAGCTCAATTGTTTGGCATCTTTTTTCATAATTTGTGTCTTGCCTGGTGCTTGTCCATCATAGGTGAAATCAGGGACGAGAATTGTCTGCGCATCGACGACCACAATGGGTCCGGAAGTGACGCCTTGTTGTCCCACCAGCGATCCGACGACGTGTGGTTGTGGGTAGTCCAAATTGAGGGGAATGTACAAATCCCCAAAATTTACCTATCGATTATGCAACACATATCATTACAAGGTAGCCAATCAACCATACCTGGTGGCAGATGGTCGGAACATATTAAAATTGTGTGCAAGGCTGGGAAAAATACACCGATTCTACCGATTTTCGGGGTTTTTACGGCCACAAAAAGACCAGAATCTACATCGAAAAGGTAACAATACTACCAAAATGTATGCTTTTTGAGGAAATTAGCTTTTTATCTCTGTCAAAATATACTGGGGAAATTCACACCGGCCTTGATACAATTGTAAAATCCGGAAATTCTCTAAACGTACAAACTTTTACAAAATTTTACTCATATTTTTCGAAGGGAAATTAGCTCCCACATTTTTAGAAACTTGATCAGATCAAGAGCGGCATCTCCTTATTTTGTAAAGGTTTGTAAAATTGTGGCACGAATTTTACAAAGTTACAAATAACTGCTGGATTTGCCTTTGTATTTTCACGATTTTTTAAAAAGTGAATGAATTTTACAGCGATAAACCTTAAATTTCTTCACAAAACATGGAAATTCTCATCTCTTTGTGACTGTAATAACCTTGAGGTCAAAATAGTCTGGTATTTTGACCACCCTTAAGAAATTGCGTAACTTTGAACATACCTCATATGCCCGGCACCAAACTGCGATCCATTTGATGTCGCGAAGCGTGAGCCCATCTGGCAGCGAGATGGTAATGTCTTGATTGTTATACGCACCCAAAACTTCCTTCCTGTCCAGAGAAAAGAGAAGATATTATGTATTTTGTGGGAGTGAAAGTCATCAAATTACGAGAACACGTGGCGACTTACGTGCCACGTTCGTTCGGAATTATGACCCCCTGAGAACTGGGATGTTCGGTGAATCCCGTCCAGAAAAAGGCGTCTGGAATTGGCAACAATTTTGCAATAAGTAAGACGTACTGGTAAGGTAATTTACGCCGTCCTTGGTAACTTTGTAAATTTTTACAACATTTCAAAACCATTTGTAACGAGAATTAGCTTAAAAGCCATCTAGAATTGGTAACAAGTTTGTAATAAGTAAAAAGAAATGATACGTACATCAAATAATTCATGTAGGAATTCGTAACTTTGTAAAATCTGCAAACGTCTACAAGATTTTGAAACTATTTATAAGCAAAGTTAGCTTAAAAAGCGTGTAGAATTGGCAACAATTTTGCAACAAGTAAGAAACAACAGTGCGTACAGTGAGACATTCACGCCGTCTTTGATAACTTTGTAAAATCCGTAAACTTACAAACTCTTACAAGATTTTAAACCCATTACAGAAGAAAATTAGCTTACACATTTATGCGAGTTTAATCAATGGTTCAATCTTTTTATTTAACTAAATTTACGTAATTTACAAAGTTTACGCAATGACTGCGTGAATTGTCTCATCTCTACAAAACCTTTTGGATAAAATGGACAAAAAATATTTATTTTGCAGAGGACGCCATGCATACAAAAATGGGCACGGAATCAGGGAAATTTCCTCATGTGCAAATAAATTAGTCGTGAATTTCCTCACACGGGAGAGATGAAAAGAAAACGTAAATGCTGTACGCATTATTTGCACAATGTTTGTTGGTACATTGTGCAAATAAATGTGCTGCTTTACACGTGTTAGTCGTGAATTTGCTGACACGTGCGAGACATGAAACGGACAAGAAGTTACATAGGTGACAAAATTGCACAAAAATCCAGTTGCGAAAAACATTTCTGGCTAATTTGTGTAATAGAAATATTGTAATATTGAAAACATTGAAACTTCAAAATGTGAGAAATTCCAACAAAAGTGGAAGTCTGTATTTCAGTGACATTGTTGAATTTTGAGATCTTATTTTTGACTGAAATTAGTCGGAGTATTCATTACGAGTTAACATAATTTTGAATAAAATGTCAACTAAATGCTAGCCTTGTCAATGTTGTAGTTCGCAAATTAATTTTCAAGCCATTTTTTTTTAATTTGCAATTTTATTTTTTGCTAACATTTCTTTCTAGCGATGCGAACTCCCCGATGAATATACCCAAATATAATAATAATTTGGGTAGGTACATATTTACCACAGGGAATTTTAGCAGTAAAAATCACAACTTTTCGCTTGAAAAATTGATTTGCAACCTTGCATATGTTAATTTAAGCAAAAAAAAATATTACAATTTCACACAAATTTGCACATCTCCAAAGATTGTGTTTACATTTCGTAGATAAATTTGTTTTTCGAAATTTCTCTGTGTTTTGCGATTCGGAAACACATTAAACGAAATGGCTGGGCTGGATTTTGATGGGTTAGTAGCTCGTATCTTTCTACAAAGACAAATATTTACGACTTTGTTTGTTGTCCACATTTCTCATTAAGGATCATTTCGCCGTCGAGGTTTTCATTTTCTGCCCAAATTACGATCCCCTTTACGCAATCACGTACCCCGCAAAGCATGCAAAGATGAAAGGAGCCCAATCTCCCCACAGAAACCCATGTCACATCCCAGACTGGCTAAAATACTTGGTCAAAATGTATCCTATTTTGAGCCCAGTTCTTCCCAGGGTTTGGATCTTACTGGAGGCGCAAACCATGTTCAGCCCAGATAATTTTTTGACCATGTTAGTTTGAAAGAGCAAGTCTTTACAAACAACATTTGGTTCGGCACTTGGGCAGATGCGCAAATTTCAGCACGTTATGGGCGCCGCAAGTTCGCAAAAACGCACGAAGTTGAGCTCGCGCTGGGCATTGCCCGTTTTTGCGAACTTGCGGCGCCCATAACGTGCTGAAATTTGCGCATCTGCGCAAGTGCCGAACCAAATGTTGTTTGTAAAGACTTGCTCTTTCAAACTAATAAGGTCAAAAAATTATCTGGGTTGAACATGGTTTGCGCCTCCATTGTTAGTTACAAAAAAACGGGAATGCAACAGTCAGTCGACAATTTTTGAAAAAATTAACGTTTGATGTGAAGATACTGTATTTTTTTTAATGCAGTATTTTGACACCGATAAAAAGATAATTTCTTTTAAAAAAGCTGATATTTTCCTACGAATTGTGTATTCTTGAGCCTTGTATTTTTAATATTAACCTACAAAGAACCACTTTCTACCAGTTATTTCGTGCGAGTGTTCATTTTCACTCAAAAAACTACTGAAAACATTGAATTTTGACCGTGATTAAATCTAAATTTCTTCACAAAACTTAAATTTTCGCACGATTGCTGCCTTTTTGACGTGTGTAAATTCTTATACTTTTATGTCTGTAAAACCCCTTAAAAATCCAAACCCTGGTTCAAACCTAGCCCCAAATTTGACACAGTATTTGCCATTTTGCCCACCGTGTAAACAGTGGCCGCGGAAGGGTGAGGGGACAGAGGGACAATGTCCCCACGGTTATTTAATGTCGGCATCATCTCCCCATCTTACATAAACCCGTCCCTCCCCCCATCCTAAAATGTTAACGTCCCCACATGTCCCCACGGCTTCCTTCCGCGGCCAATAAGGATGCATACGTAAAGGGAGAATTCACAGTGGCCGCGGAAGCTTGAGGGGACATAGGGGCAATGTCCCCACGATTATTCGATGTCCGCATCATTTCCCCATTTTATACACACCCCTCCTCTCTCCCCTATCTCTCCTACAATGTTAATGTCCCCACAGCTTCCGCGGCCACTGTTAGCCCCCATTCCCTCAAAACTTCATACCTGGACCCGTCCCATCATACGTGAATCCCCGAATGTGCAACGTCCTCGAGTCGACGGCGTACACTTCTCCGCTGACTTTGTGCTTCTGAGCCGTAATTGGTCCAATATAGCGCCCCCGGTAATGAGACCCTGACGACGACGAGGACGACGCCTGTCCAGCCACCGAGTCCACTGCAATAAAAAGTACAAAACAAAAAAATGTCATAAATCTTGTCGTAAAAAAGTATAAACTTGACGAAGATGATTTCTTCCCCCCGCTGTGCAAGTGGTCTATTTTTTTATGTTGATGTAAAAAAATAGGGCTCGTCACCACACCCGTTATTTATTTAACTCGTCGTATCTATGTATGAGTCGTTAACAGCTTTAAATGAGTAATAAAGTGGGTCGAATCAAGCAGTCAGTTCGTCAAGAGAGAAACAAGGACGGCGGAATGATGGAGAGGGGACTAAATAATAATGACCCAATAAAAAATTAGGGGATTTTTATGAAGGTTTCCCGTGAAAAAAGAACACCTGCATGAAATTGTGTCATTTTTGTATTGGCATTTCTTGCAGGAGAAATGCAAGAAACGTGCCCAAAAGCAATCAAATTTCCCATGATTGACTACTTTTACGAAGATTGGAAATTTTGAAAATTGCGAAAATAAGGAATTTTGCGCCCAAATTTATCTCCAAAATTGTAAGGATTTTATTTTCTACGTAATTATTTCCTTAATTATTTGCCATTTAAGACTTTAACGTGTGTCCGCCGATGTTGGATCTTTGCGAAAATCTCGCTTTACAATTTTTGCAAGTTTTTTTTACCAACATCTCGCCCCCATACGAGATTTGCTAAATACTTGACGTGAATACGCCAATTATATATTTGCACCCTATAATATTTTGCAATTTTCTTACACCCCACACGAGATTTGCTAAATACTTGACGTGAATACGCCAATTGGATATTTGCAATTTTCTTATGCCCCACACGAGATTTGCTAAATACTTGACGTGAATACGCCAATTGGATATTTGCTCCTTACAATTTTTGCAATTATCTTACACCCAACTCGTCCCCACACGAAATTTGCTAAATACTTGACGTGAATACGCCAATTGGATATTTGCAATTTTCTTACACCTCGTCCCCACACGAGGCCTGCAGCCCCTGCAGTTTTACAAATAGTTCAGTGTGTGTCTAATAACTAGTGTGTGCCCGAGATGAGATTGAGATATGAGATTGTCCCTTTTTTCTTCACCTTGTAGGTACTTACATACATATTTTCTATTATGTTGATCTTTCTTTCTAAGCGTGCATGATCATTACCGTGGTGGTGATACATTCATGTGTAACTTAACTTGAGTAGAAACGGTTTCCCATGATGATTACTTATTAGTTTACAAATTTGTATTGATGACACTGAAAAGAAAAATGAGTGATAAGAAAAGTAGGATTTTTTGGCCTTGTCGATTTTAGCTGATGGTATCGAAGATTAGATATTTATTGCACGTCGACCTGTCCGTCCATCATCCCTGCAGCTTAATTGGTCCATGCGTTGCGTACTATTTACACATGTCGGTCGGGACTCGTGTAAGGGAGGCAAATCATGTAGGTGAGGAGGCAGGGTGTCTAAAGTGGGTTTTTTATGTGTGTGATGGTAAAAATTGTGAGATAACTCATGTCTGAATTAATAACAGATGCCTTTTTGGGTGCCCTGGTTTTTTCACAAATGTCAATTTTTATGCTTAATCCATATGGTCAATATTGGAAAAGGAAATTTATGCAAAAATCCAGGACAAAATTCCCATATGAAAAATTATACGCAGAATTCTAGCCTTCACAATCATGTCTGTAAAGAAAAGCTTGCATCATTCTGCAGACAATTTCTGTGGAGTCAAAATTATGCAGAACTGTCTGTACATAATTATGCATAATTCCCCTCTGCATACAGTTTTTCTGCAGAAAATTCGCCCAAACTTGTCCACAAAATCTGGCAAACTTTCTTTCTTTTTGAAATTTGCATATACAAATATTCAGTCAAAATGTGTGCCTTCAAAACTTACTTATACAAAACTATCCTTATTTAAAAAATGACAATTAGAAAACGCGTTTTCCGTATAAAATTTCCACACTAAATATTTGCACACTCAAGAGTAGCGCAATTTCCCTTAATAAATTCTCCCACGAACATTTTTTTAATGCCGTCTTGACAAATTGTCCCATAAAAAATTACACAAAAAGACACCACATACGGCACCCTGCTTCTTCTTGACAGGTGATGAATTCTTCATCATAAATAATCAAGTACACTCATAAAATGATTGAGAGCAGAGGATGCTTTGCTTTGCTACTAACTAACCAAAAAAATCGCAGATTCAAGAAAACAAAACCTTCCTCTCATTCGTCTCACTCGCTATTATTTAAATTAGGATCAAATTTGGACGACAGGTAATAAGTAATTTTGATTAATAAATGACACGTTGGCCATAACCTGGAATGCCATGCGGACAGATTTACGTAATTGCTTTAATGATTAATATTTGTTCTTGACTTTTATGTGAGCGTGCGTGTGTTCTCGAGTTTACATTTACAAGATATTTGAGACTAGTTATTATCATCAATTATTAATAAATGATAATAAATAGTTAGTTAAGGACCTCCATTAAAATTCAGGTATTTAATCCCATTTAATAAAATGAGTACTTATTCACGCACGAAGGTGAGTGGTGGTCGTGCAATTCATTGAAATTATGACCGCACTTTAAATTCATCAATGAAATGAAATGAAGTGAAGTGACTTTGAAAAGTATGTATGAATTTAGTAAATTGTGCGTTCATCTAAACTTGTGGAGGAGGGCATATCGTATTAGTTATCATGATAAACAAACTAGTAGCGATACATAATCTTAAATGCTTCCATTGTAAATATCCATCCTTGGAGAATTTCCACGTGTCAGGTTAAAAGTTTTTTAAATTTTTTAAAGACATTTTTAAGTTTTAGAATAGACCCTTATTCAGGAACAAAAATTTCATAAACTGCACGAACAATGGAGGTTTTCCAGCTTATACTCTTCAATTTTGAGCACCTTTGTATCAATCGATAACAAATTTAATTAGCATATGGAATTTGGGAAAGATACGATCTCCCAATTGGCACGTTTGGCCAAAATATTTGCATCCGAAGAGGAGAAAACGCCCAGTAAATTTGGAAAGTGTACAATTTGTCGTCTTTTCTGACATATTACTGACTAAAATTGGAGAGCATATTCTTGGGTTGGTATTAAACTTATTTAACGTTTATCAAGTATTTCTTTTATGTATACGTTTTTTAACCCATATTTTCAATATGTTACGAATCATAACTTACGATGTAAGAATCGAATTAGAATTTAAGCCAGTAATAGTCTTTATGAACTAATGGACGGACAGACAGATAGACTGACAGACACGTCATTCCCATAAAGTTGCAACCTCTCCCACACAAACACAATGCTAAGTAAAACCGAGACGAATCTACCAAATAATATATGTGACTAAACCTGAATAGATTTTCATTTTATAATCAAACTTTATCTCATTTCCAAAAGTTATTTCGCTTTCTGCATATTAGGAGACGACATGCACATGCACATACGTAAAATATATTCATACCCGACTTTGTCCCCAGTCGCACATTAATTGCTGTCCCACCACCACCACCACGACGACCAAGGTACAATCCTTTATTACGTATTGTTACCCATGAATAGCACACAATTTCAGCCTCATTCATTTTCTACCACAATGCAGACGTGTCATTCGGCAGAGATCACAAGGGTATCCTTTTTACCCCACCCCCAGACGGCTGCCATACCTAATCAGAGGGCGGATGTGTATTTACCAAGACAATTTATATACATATGTATGTATTTAATATCTATTTAGGAAACAAAAAACGTCCAGTGCGTACCCAAAAAAATAGTAATTTTCACAAAAAAAATATTTCCGAAGTTATTGCATAAATAAACACAAGTCAGACATGAAAAATCCTAACCAAAAACATCCATTAAAATATGTATAAAAAACTCAAACACATACATATTTACGAAATACGCTTGAAAAAACATAAAACAATTTTAGCAAAAATTTCCATTTTTGAACTAAATCCTCTGGACTTCTTGTAGATATTTAAGCTATAAAAAATTTCGTCTAACTCACTATAGTTAAAATATTTACAAGATAAAGATTTCCGTATTTTGGAAATATTTTTTCGTCTGAAAACCTAGGAATATGTACAACTATTTTGAAATTTTTGCAATCTAAGCATCTTAGGGGACACACCCACAAAGTTGGTTCGTCATTCATCAAATGAAAAAGTTGAAAATACTTAAATGCATATCCGCCCTCTCTAGATACGCGACACTAATTTAAATTATGTGGTGTGGTCACACACCACCCAACCAATCAATATGACGCATGCACACTAATTCAGCTTCACCTCAAAACTTCAAAGAGGTTGAAAATCACGGCGAAAATCTAATATTTCATATCTAATAATTATGATGAATCAAACAAAATCAGGTAGATAAATTTACTCTTCCTCACAAAATTAGTCGTGTAATTAGATATTACTCGACGAAAATTATTAGTCGTGCCCCCTCGTAAATTGAATTTTCTTCAATCCAATCAAATTTATAACACAATTTCTTTTCAGCTTCTCCAAGAAATTGATTTTTTCAAATTTATAACACCCAATTTCGTTACTACAACTTATCAAAAAAATTGAAATTTCAAATTATAACGCCACCATCCTAAACACCCAATTTCTTTACAGCTTGTCCAAGAAATTGATTTGTTTTTTTTTCAATTTACATGACACCCAATTTCTTAACGGCTTGTCCAAAATGTAAATCTCGTCGTGTAAAAGTGAGACTTGTGCAATTGAGACAGAATTATGGATTCTCATCGTTGCATAACACAGACCGTCTCGTCATCTTGGAATTTGGTAGCATCTCATGTACAACATTATTCTAAGCAGAGGTCAGTTAAGTGAAGTGAGTGAACAATGCGTCGTATTTAATAATGGTGTAATAAAGAATGGCAGAAACAATGCGTTCCTAGTTAGTTAGTTGGTCAGTTAATGTGTGCAGGCTCGTAATAAAATGTGTGTGCAGGCCACCAGTTATTTTGTTGCCTGGGCTGAGATTACTGTAATCAGAGAGATGAGAGAGAGATGTAAAGTTAGTCGATCTGTATTCTAATTACGTGCCCCAGCAGGACGACGACGCAGGTACACAGGACATGGCTGACTGACTGACTGACTTATTAAGATATGTACATGTCATTCTCTTCGTCCTATTGATCAATAATCACCACAGGGCGGATATCTATCTATTTACGACTAAATCGCGGAAATATGAATGTCTTTAATTAATATGTAGAAAAAATGCCAAAACATATACAAAAAACACATTTTTTACAAACATGTAAATAACAATTAAAAAAACAATTTTTTTACAAATATATAACTAGCAATTAAAAAAAACACAAAACTAAGAAGGATAAGAAGCCCAGAAAAAATTGCACTTTTGAATAGACTGCTTTTTGTGATATAATTTCTATCCGCAAAAAAATTCTCATATCTTTGAAATATATGTAATTTTCAAAAATATATAGAAGATTTCCATATTTTTGAAATAATAGTAACAGAGGAAATATTTATGTATGAAAACCTAGAAATATGTGACAATATGTATGTAAACTGTAAACATATTTAGAAATTTTGCCAATCTTTGCAATTAGCTAACAAACACACAAAGTTTGCCCGTCGGTGGTAATCACATGAAAAACTTGAACAACTATCCGCCCTCTAAAAATAATCACCGATCAATTGATCGATCATTCATTCATCTCCCCACACACAAAGCGTTGCACACTCATTAAAAGCAGATACAAATGGCAGGGTGGGAGAGACACGCTGCGCCAAATAAGTACATCATACATGCTCGTAATTAGCGACCAGTTAACAATTTACCGTGGCGTCTCTCTAAATATTCTCATTATTAAGCATTTACCTGTGGCATTTATGTACATATTTTGACATTTACGACGTGGCATGACCTGTTTGCCCCCCCCCCATTTAAAGAAGTCTCTATTTCTGTCCTTGTGGGTGGCATTTTGACCTGTTTGATTCCCCCCCATTTAATTTTTTTAATACCCCCATAAAGACCAAGACATGCCCGGTAATCCCCTCATCATTTAATAACTCACTCTTATTTCCTACGCCCAAGTTTTACCTGTCGATTGTGTATCATCTTTCGAGATAAAAATAAAAAAGGATTGCATCTCCATCTCCAATCCACGTTTGGGAGCTGACACAGATTTTTTTTTGCAATGCAATTTCTAATCCAATCCACGACACAGCTTTTTATTTATGCACAATGCTTTGCTTTCCCAGCCTCATTATTACTTGTATGCATGCATGTATGTGCATATGTATGTGCATAAATATTTGTAATAAGGTAACACATGTATGCAGTCTCTCTCCTCCTTAATGATGAATGATCTCGTAATAAACATGTGACCCGACAGGATTTAATTTTACGACGCTATGTATGTATGTACATAGATATTCTTAGGTTGCAAGAAAATAATGCTTAAATTTGTCCCATTTTAAACAAATTTCAAGTTTAAATAACATAACTTGATTCTGGATTTTATTGGGTAAAAGTACTTAATGTGTTTTAAATTAGTTCGTGATGTTTTTTTAGTGAGCTGGATTATTGTGAGCTTTTAACCTCCAAATTACAGACGTTTGTATCCCTATTTTTTATAACTTGACTATTTTTCGAAGCATTACTAATTACACAGAGTTAAATTCCTTTGGGTTAAATTCCGCTATTTTTGGAAATTTTACGTCCCCAGAAATTTTACGACTTGACAAATTTCTATATTTTTTAAAATCCCGAGTATACATACATACCTGGAAACATTTGTTTAATAGGGATCCGCAATGGAAAATGATCTCGTGTGTAAAATTGGTGTAGCTATTTAAGAAAGTAATAATTCTGCTAAACAAATCTGCGTAACTATTTAAAAGACAAATACATACATATTTCGAAAAATAGCCAAGTTATGAAAACGTAATTTGGAATATTTCCGAGAATTGACTCCTGGCAGGTTAGAGATAATGTACATAAACCGTCAATTAAATGTCGGTCGGTCGGTCGGTCGCCCGGTTGACGAGGCTGAATTAATTGGCACAGTACAAGAAGAGAATGGAATTCAGAAAAAGAACAAAAAAACTTGCCAAGGAAAAACTACAGTAAACGGACTGACGGACTTGCTTCCTCGTAAACCAGTTGCATAATCTCGTCCGTCACTGGTTTATTATGTATGTATGTATGCAGTTTATTTATTTCTTGCACGCTACGAGAAGAAGATTCATGTATGTATTTTTCTACAAGGTTTCAAGTCCAAACAGGAATGTGCAAAACACCGTTTGACTCACAGGAGATCGATCCGTCTAAAAAACAAAGTGGGTGAGAAAAAAGTATCCTTTATCATCATCAACCCGGCTCTTGGATTCAAAGGATATTAGAATTTTTATATATTTAGCATGCATAATAGGAATGTTTCCGATTTCTTGGAAATCTAATTAGGATGAAAGACACGCAGTAATTAAGAAAAAATGGTGTCTAGCTATGTACTTTCCAATGACTATTTAAATATAATGAGAAAATAGGTATCATGCGACATTGAATACTGAGGAAATTCACGCAGTTCTTAGTAACTTTGTAAAATCCGTTACCAAAATTTTACAAACTGCTACGAAATAAAGAGACGTCCTTGATCTCAGTATATACGTTTACAAAAATTTGGAACCTAATTTTCCCTTATAAATATTTCCAAAATGTCGTAAAGCTTTGAAAGTTTACAGGATTTACGGACTTTACAATGTTACCAAGGCCTGCGTGAATTGTCTCAATATGCAAAATAGTGACGCTATAAATACATACCCTCAAAATACACCTAAATATGTACATTCTCGTACATACTAAATATGATAAATGAAAACAAATGTATCACATCAAATATTCCGTATTCATTCTGCCCCACAAAAATACACAGATCGCTCACATTCAGTCAACAGTAGTAAAATTGCGACTTTTTCATAAAACACCTACACATTGCAACCTACCTACACACATTTACATATATATCTTTTGGTCTAAAAATAGTCCACATGCACATTCATTCATCTTTCTCAACTTGCTTAAACGGTTATGATTTCTTGCCTCAAATAGGAATAAACAAGACTGAATATTTATTAGATACTCACACACAACTTTAGTCTGCAACCCACTCATGTCAAAGTTTTCAAATTAAAGGAGAGGAAATTAAGACAGTTTCCGTCGCCCCATGGAAAAAAATCGCGTGTCAAAGTTTCCCGTCTTTTTTATTTTATATGAAAATACCGTGTCAAAGTTTCCCAATGTACGTCAGAGAAAAAGCCTTGTTCTTACCTGAGAAGAAAGCCAGGACGATGAGAGAAAAGCGGAGGAAGAGTGTCCTCCCACAATATGCAAATGAAGCCATTATGTGACCACAATGATTTCACTCAATGAACGCCGCAACAACACTGACGAAGAGGTTGTTGCGGTTTTTGGCATAAGTCTCCTCCTCATCGACGTGAAGCCTCAGGCACCAACACCACCATCACGACCACCTTTTAAATACACAGTGGCATTCTTGCAGTGACGATGATTGTCAGCTTCTTGTTGTGAATGAAATGCTGGTCAAGATAAAGCTTGTATCGTGCATGAGGAGTTTGGGTGAGTTTTTTTTAAATTTAAACAATGTGTATGTGTGTATGTGTGATTGGTTGGGCCCCTGGGAAATTATGTAGAGCAGAGGTCGACGCTGGGGACCGGGGACGCCACAAAATTTGTCGGGGTCGACCTTTCATGGAAAGGTCGAAATCAGAATGGAGGTCTCCCAGCGTATGCGATCCGATTTTGAGTAAATTAGTGTCAATCGATCAAAAGTTTGATTAGTATGAAATTTGGGAAAGACACGATCTCCCAATGGGCACGTTTGGCCGAGATATTTGCATCCCAAGAGGAGAAAATGCACAGTAAATTTGAAAAGTGTAAAATTTGTCGACTTTACTGGGCGTTTTCTCCTCTTGGGATGCAAATATCTCGGCCAAACGTGCCCATTGGGAGATCGTGTCTTTCGCAAATTCCATACTAATCATCAATTCACACTAATTTGCTCAAAATCGGATCGCATACGCTGATGGATCTCCATTCTCCCAGGAAAACAATGCATACGACTAAACGCCTTAATCTTAACTCCTTCCCGAGATTATGACCATGTTTAAAATTAAGTTGATTTTCTAATCAGCCATCATTCTGTGTATTAATACGATAAATTTTGGTTTGCCTTTATTTCCCATGCTTTCTTTCTGTCGCTGTAGTAAATTGTAAATACATTATAAATTTTGTGTTTTGAGTTATACATTATACATTGTTTGTAATTAAAAATAATTCTTCTTTCTCTCTTTTTCGAGTATTAAATACATACATTACGTCGAAAATTAGTAGAAAAGCTTTCTTCTGTAAGTTGCATTGATTGATTGATTGATTAATTCGTTAAATAATTGCCAATTAGAACAAAAAAACGTCGATTTGGAACACCCTATTTCCGTTGAAACCCCGTCCTTGGTGGGGGTCCGAGTGGAGTCGCGTTCGTCATGATGGGCGCGGTGGGATCCATTCCGCGCAGAGATGTGATGTCTTCTGGACTGACGACCGGGCGCGCCCCGATGATGAGTGGTTTTCCCGGCTCGTTTGGAGATGTGCGAACCGCCGCGGTGGAAATAGGGGGCGGGTTGCCGAATCCTTGCATAGAAGACGAGGACGAAGTATGAGCACCAGGGTTCAAAAAGAGCGGGGGTGGTCCGGACGGGGTTGACTGGGGGGCGATAAGGGCCGTCGGCGGCAAGGAAGACGATGTCGACGTCCCATAATCTGGTTGGTATAATCCCCCCGTGTAAATGGGGGTCGCTATTGGTGGTGGAATTGCCTCGCTGCTTGGGTAGTATGGCGCCAAGTCGCGGAACGCCGGGGCGGAGGGGAGATTCGTCGAAAATTCGAGTTCTGCTTCGGACTGTTTCTCCACAAAGATTCCCATCGAGGCGTAAATTTCGCGGAGGACCATTAACATTGTGTCTTCACTTTCCCTGTAGGTAAACGAATGGATTAGAAAACATGGTCAAAATAGTGTACATATTTTAAGCTTATTTTTTGGATTTCCAAGGCTGTAGAAGCCACAAAAAGACGATAATCTACTTCAAGAATACAACAGCAGTACGCAAATACATATTCGGTTAATAAATTAACTTTTCATTGCTATCAAAATATACTGAGGCAAGTCACGCAGGCAAACCATTGTAAAATCCGTTAATTCTTTAAACTTATAAACTTTTACGTATACATATTTCGAAGGAAAATTAGCTCATAAATTTTTGGAAACTTACAAATAAGATCAAGAGCGTCTCTTTATGTAAAAGTTTGTAAAACTAGTATACAACTAGTATACGGATTTTATTATGTTAGTAATGATTGCGTGAATTGCCTCAGTATTTTCATGATGATTTTCTAAAATAAATATTTTGAAAAGAACTAAAAAGTAACTTCTTCGAAAAACAAGTTTTTTTCATTCTACACTTGCCCTACTCATCTTTCTAAATTCTAAAATCTAAATTCTCATCTTTTTGTGGCTGTAATACCCTTGAAGCAAATCCAAACCCTGAGAAGAACGGAGCTCAAAATACTGTACATTAATAACCAGCATCATTAAGAAATATTTGCATATTTACCAATAGCACACGTGACTACTCAGAGCGAATAAATATTCGTTAAAGCTTTCCAGCGGAGCTTCTTGCAGGACGTAGTCCACACGTCGTCCCCCGTTCAATTTTCCCAATCCGATGTCTTGATCCACATCCTCCGCAGATCCATTCGAGTTCGTGTCAACACCCTTTTCACTCAATTCTCCTTCAAGCACGCGGTCAATTTCGGACTCGAAATTCTCTCCCTTTGAAAAGGTGGCGTACTGGTAAACCGTGTTCCACGTGGTTTTCAAAGAATCCAGAAACTTTTGCTTAATATCAGCCCCGACACGTTGCATGGTTTCCTTTAATTCTGTCGAAATAGAGGAAACCGTCGGTAAATAAATGAGCTGAGCAAAATTAATTAACAAAACAATTAACAAAACATATTGGCAAATTTTTTCTTACCGAGATGAAAACGCTTTCGTCCCTTATGATGAGGAATGAGGACTGGACGCATGTCAAAATTCGGGTCGATGAGAGTTTCAAGTCTAAAAAAACACAGTAAAAGATATCAAAAACATTATTGAAGTGCAATACACAATTAAAAACATTAAGATTCGAAACTATGTAAATACAATTGCAAATACCAGTTGTTACGTGGTAAATACTTTAGTCAATATTTTCCATTACGCAATTAATTAGATTACTCATTCTTTAACTAGACTAATTGTTAAGGCAATTCATGCAGTCATTTGTAACTTTGTAAAGTCCGTTTTGCTATAATGTTACAAGCTTATACAAAATATTTAAAAGGACTCCCTTGATCTGAGTCAGTTCACTAAAATTTGGAAGCAAATTTTCCTTACATATGAGTAAAATTTTGCAAGTTTACACAGGATTTTACAATTTTACTGTTACAACAAGGTCTGCGTGAATTGCCTCAATGTATTTCTTTGTTTAAGCGATCTCAGAAATATACTAGTTTCTTCCTGTACAATTTTAATTATCGAATTAATAATCGAATAAACGTAGGTATGTCATAATTTGTACATATTTACCTGTACGCGACGGGATCATAGGGATGAAAAATGTTAAAAAACGAAGGGCAAGTAGGAAAATGGAAATTTTCCCCGAGTCGATCAATCCCTCGCACCGTGACGAACATTGCTACGATAATTTGTAAAGATAATTAGTTCAGGAAAATGGCAAGGGCATACATGCTTTATTTACTAAAATCCTACCAATTGGGGATCCAAGTGCGAAAAAAGCAGTAGGTTCGAATTCCAGGGTGGGATACTTTATAAACGGTTGACCCGTCCCAGAACCCACCGTGTAGATCATGGTGGATTGATTTTGCCCTTCTGATCCGGCAGCATTTGCGGACTCGTTCTTCTACAAGTTCATTTAACAGGTAATTAGCTAATGGACAAAATGTAGTATTTTGAGCTCCGTTGTTCCCAGGATTTGCATTTCCAAGGGTGTTACACCCACAGAAAGAAGAAAATCAATGTTAAGATGCTTCTGATGCCTTTCTCAACGCAGATTTTCGTCTTTTTGTGGGTGTAACAGCACCGGGAATCCAAACTCTGGGAAGAATAGAGCTCAAAATACCGTACATTTTAAGTATATTTCCCCTGTTAACTACACAGAATGTAATTTGGTTAGCATAATTAGTTTTTATACCTGAATGTCCGCTTGCCGATTAGCCGAATCCCCACTCTCTGTGTTATCTTCCTTCGTATAACGTCCAATTTTGGGCTGATGAGTGAGCAGATCGAAGAGAATGAGGCTGCCCAAACTGTGCCCGGCAACGGCCACGTATCCATTAAAGGTTGGATTTCGTGACAGAAATAAATTGAAAAGACGATTCAGCTCGGATCCGACGGTATCAATGATTGTCTAAAAAAGATAAAGTTGAGTAATTGAATAATAATTATTCTAACGTATGTAGTACTCCATTACTCCTCGTCAAAATCAACACATTTTTAATCGTTTCTCCACTCTGGGAACTTATTTTAAAATTCTGGAAGACAAATTTGTAGAACAGGGAGTTATCAATTTTTGAAAATATACACTCCAGATTTTGGTTGAGGAGATCTCAAGGTTAAGAAGCCTTCAGAAAAATTGGAACTGGCTTAAAAAACTCGTCGCCATTCCATCAATCAACTCACTGAGGACAAATTTATCGTGTTCAGAATTTTAAAATAAATTCCCAGAGTCGAATAATGATTAAAAATGTGCTCATCTTGACCATAAGTCATCGAGTTCTATGAAAATAACATTCTTTTTGCTACACACCTGCGCATAGACTGGACTCGTGTAGAAGAGAATATCCAGTAAAGAATCGTTCGTAAAATTCCGCAGTTTTGGGATGCTCTTCAACGTAATGGGTTTCAATTTCTTGTCAATTCCTCCATCTCCGTGTAACGCGTCGTGCCATGAAACTGGGAGAAATTCAATTCTTCCAGCCCTTTGGGATTCGACCGCTTCCTTGAAGTGAGTTTGCATCAGTTGGAATGACAAGTGACGGAAATCATCGACTGAAATGATTATTAGGCAATTAGATAATTATTATTCAATAATAATAAAATGACAAAAATGTTCTACCTGCTTCGACTATAGTCCTAAATTTTAAATCGCATATAGCACCAATTCCGTGAACTAAAAATACTAAATGGTCGATCTGTGAGGATTCACCGTCTTCAATCTCAAACTCTTCAACGCCTCGTTTCACAACCCTTGGGCGGAGTTGGCTCTCCTAAAGGGAACGATTTGAAAATAAATTTTAATTGGTCTTAAATCGACAATAGAGGTCTCCCTGCATATGGTCTCATATTTTGAGGGTCAAACTAGTGTCAATCGATGACAAATTTAATTAGTATGAAATTTGCGAAAGACACGATCTCCCAATGGGCACGTTTGGCAGAGATATTTGCATCCAAAGAGGACAGTAAATTTGGAAAGGGTAAAATTGGTGCTTCGCAAATTTCATACTAACTCAAGTTGCCAACGATTAACAGAAGTTTGATCTAGAATACGTTGGGAGACCATCATTTTTAGTTAACTATGTATTATTAAACTAATTTTCATTAATCTTATGTAGTTAATTATGCATTGCTACACTTACAGGAAGGTTCCCCCACTCGTCGGGGGCAGCTGCTTGACAAAAGTGCGAGACAGCATTCGCATTGTACAGAATGATGGCTTCACCCCCAGGAAACTCGAGCCGTCGGTTCCAAACCCCAGTCGTAAGACCGCTGTGATACTCAAGCTGGAGTGAAATAAATCGTTTCAGAAATCAGAAACATAAATATGAAATAATAAATGATAAATATCTAATAACTACCTCAAGACTCTCAGAAAGTATTTCTTCATAGGGCACCTAAAAACACGATTAGTTAACACGATTAATTAATTAACAAAGAGGACAATTAAACACTAAAAATAAAATAAATCACGTACAAATCGGCTGTCCATTGGTCCCTTGTAAAACCAGGAACATCTCCGCACCTCGGAAGGCTTTTCTTCCCAGTAAACTGGGTATTTCAACCGTTTATGAACATTCACATCGTATCGACCACCATCCGTGGAAATGAGTTCTTGGTTATCTGCAATTTGCATAGAAAGATATTAATGAACCTTTCTTTTTCACGTTTTTCTTTCTATGACTTATCTAAAATCAGCACATTTTTAATCATTTCTCGCATTTGTAGAATAGGTTGTTGCCAATTTTTTGAAAATATACACACCAGATTTTGACACTTTTTGAAGAAAGATATCTCAAGGTTAAGAAGCCTTCAGAAAAATTGGAACTTATCCAAACTAGCTCAAAAAACTCATCGCCATTCCATTAATTAACTCAAATTTGTCGTTCAGAATTTTAAAATAAATTCCCAGAGCGAAGAAATGATTAAAAATGTTTTAATTTTAATGAATCATCAAGTTCGTTAATAAAAATACTCTAAATATCCATACTTTCACTGAACGCTTGTTCCAAAGCGGCCGAATCTGCCAAAGAAAACGCTCGCCACACAGTCTTGTCCTTATCCACTTTCGGCCCATTCTTATCTTTGGTTTCGGCATCCTTCTCCTTCCTGTGGAACCAGTGGAACGCGACCGGCTTATACGTGACTCCTCCTCCACCTCCTCCCGTTGCAGCAGAAGCCATACTGTTCTGCCCAGTCGGCGACTGATATCCCATCGGACTCGGGATCCGTTGCGTGTTGAATGGCGTAAACGCATACGGCGACGAGGATGGTATCGACGTTGGCGGGGCAGGTTGTGGAGTTGGAGCAAACGTCGTGACGGAAGTGGGGACCTGGGCCGTTTCAGAAAACTGGGTAGCATTCGGCATCGCCATGTACCTGCAAAAATTAATTATCGTTCGTACAGGTTAATTAACATTCTAATCATCGTATTAATTAGCAAATTGTATAATAAAATTATTAAGATTGGGCACCCACATTGGCGCCGGTGGGGACGCTTCAACCCCCGAAAGTCCCGGATACTTGGCGTACATCGGTTTCTGTTTGCCGAGGCGGAAACTGTTGTTGTTCGTTTCTGTTAATAAGATATAGTTTTAATTATTATTAAATTGTTCCAGTGGTTATTCTTTGATAAGACTATTACCTGCCGAACTCCCACTACCACCAACTACTCCTGGTGGTGGTGGCGGTGAAAACATGGCCATTGACGGAGGCGGACGTGAAAATGGAGTCCCTATCGTAATCTCCTGTTCAATCACACTCTTTACCGGAAATGTTGGACTTTGTGTCGCCAATGGTGGTGCCGGTGGCCAAACCGGGTGAGGAACAAACGACGTTGGCGAATCAGGCGAATGTGCCACCCCTGCCGGAATCGGAGGAGGGGGTGGAAGAAATGACGTTGGCGAATGTGCCACCCTTGTCGAAATTGGAGGGGGAGGAGGAACAAACGTCTTTGGCGAATGTGCCACCTTTGTCGGAATCGGAGGAGGGGGAGGAAACGACGTCACGTGATTATTCTGCACCCCCGTCGTCGACTGTCGTTGATACGTCGAAAACTGTGGTGGTACTGGTGGTACTGGTACAGATGATGAAACAGGTGGCAAATCTTGTTTCAAGAAATCAGGGATGGGGATCGGGAAACCTTGAAATTTCGATGGGTCATCCTTTCCTCCATAAGATTCCAAATTGAAGAGAGGAACAAAGCTGTTATCGGTCGGGATAAGCGATGGCGACGAGGACGACTCGATCGGCGAAATTGTACCAGATGCTAACAGATGCACAGATCCGGAATCTTCACTGTTCAAATCAATCTCCGAATTGGGAGGAGCTACAAAAAGAAGGATAATTAATTAGTAATTATCATTAACTAACTAACTAACCAATTAATTAACTACTCTCTCTCACCAAGAAGAATTTCAGGCTCATCACTCAAGGGGACAGGAACGAGGAGGGCGGAATCCTCAAAGGAGGCGAAAGATGCCGCATTAAGTAACGAATTCGTCAAGCCTCCCCTCTTGACCGAACTATCTTCCGACATGATGATAATGAATGATTATCAATAAATCTAATCACTAATTAAATAAATTAATCTTCTCGAATCTCTCCGTAGATTTTGATAAGTTGAAGGCAGTGTTTTGGCTTGGTATTTGGTTAGTGGGACAGGTCAGCTGATTGGGTGGGACAAAAAAAGGATAATTAACAATCTACTGATTAATTAATATGCAAATTTTATCGGACAAAAAAGCTGGGGATGGAGAGATGACGTGTGACATTCTGATTCAACAGCTGCAAACAATCTACTGACGAAACCAAGGTGAAGAAAGTACAAAAACTGGGTTGCAAAATGAATCTTGCGCTGCGCCGGGTGAAAAAGAGATTGAAAAGTGACGACATAATTTCGCCATGTCGGCGTTGTCGTCGCCATTGATGCAAATTAATCAATCATAAAAGAGTCTCTCTTAGAGAGACGACATAATTTCGCCATGTTGTCGCCGCCGAAATGAATCAATCATAAAAGAGATTGATTGACAACGACGACACAATTTCGCCATGTCGTCGTCCTCGTCGCCATTGATGCCAACAAATCCAATCAATCATATTTCTAACGTATATATATATTATTTATTCTTTTTTTATCTCTCTTCCTCCAACCAACTCGTGTTTGACCTGGCAGGTCAACGTGTTTAACGTAACAACATAATATAACAGGTCAAAGTAGACTGACGATGACATCGTTGACGTCGCTAATTAACTAACTACTATCTCCGTCAAATTATATTCACAGAGACAGTAGTTAATTAACTAACTCCTGAGTGTTATTAATTAACTAACTAACTAACCAACTATCTGGTAAAACGTCTAGCTAAAACAGATCTTAACAATTAATGTAATATAAAGTATTTAATATTTGTACTAAGAGTTATTTATGTTATGTATTAGTTCAGATTCATTATCAGAATAATAATATAATTCTTGACTTAATTGAATAGTAGTAAAGTAATTAATTATTAATTAGTTAATTAAATCGTACTTACTTACCTCACACTTCATCAACAGGTGATAGCTACATAATAATAGTTAACTAACTAATCGCGGAAGGATGCTGAGAATATTTAACTACTAATTAATCGCGGAAGGATGGATGAGGAGGAGCAAATATAACTAACTAACATAATTAATTACTACCTAATTAATTATCTCGATAAATGGGATCTTCTTACAAAATTCAATTTAAGAATTCTACACATTATTGTAAATACGAAAAGTATACATACATAATTTAAACTTAAATATATCGCAGCGTATTTACTAATTAATTAATAGTGGTAGATAATTAATTATTTAATTAATTAATTAAATCTAATATCTCTCTCTCTCTTAATATATATAAATATCGATATATATTATTTATTTATAAAACATGTGATTTTTTATTCATTCCAACGGCTGATACATAATAACATTTTACATAGTATTTGAAATTTGATGAATTCACACAAAAATGACAATACATGTTAATTTATAGCTTGATTTTTTCATATTTCTTATCAACCTTGAACATGATTAACTAACGTTGATAAGAGTTCACGTTACCGAAGCCTTTTGGAACAAATTCCGCCGCGTTAGGATTCAGACGGCTGTGAGAGCTGGTTGTTGACGCCAAGTTCACGGTACGGGAGAATTGTCGAGCGATGTCGTCCAGTTCTGGGTCGCCGAGAGAGGGCAAGATTGGCCCATTGACGACACAAAGGGATGCAGTTGTGGGTCCGGCGGAGCCATCCTCGAGCAAAGAGTCCTCGTACAAGTCCGTATAATGACTTATCAAAATGTCCTCTTCCAGTTGACGCATGATCTGGAAAAGTAAATAGAATAGTTAGGATAAGACTTGATGAGTTATCAGCAACATCGTAGATATAAGTAAATTCATTGTTAATATGCGCCATAGTTAATGTAGGATACGACGACTTAGCGCGTAAAATCGGCACATTTTAATTATTTCCATGCTCTGGGAATTTGTTTTAAAATTCTGGAGGATAAATTTTAAGAGTAGGGAGTTGCCAATTTTGTAAAAATATACACTCCAGATTTTGAAGGAGGAGATCTCAAGTTTAAGAAGCCTTCAGAAACATTGGAACTCGTCGAAACTGGCTTAAAAAACTCAACGCCATTCTATTAATCAACTCACTAACTACAAATTTGTGTTTCAGAACTTCCACGGATAAATTCTACAGAATAATCAAAATTGCCACATTTCTAATAATTTCTCCCCTATAAGAATTTATTTTAAAATTCTGAAACACAATTTTGTAGTAAGTAAGTTGATTAATAGAATGGCTCTAAGTTTTTTAAGCCAGTTTCGACAAGTTCCACTTTTTCTGAAGGCTTCTTAAACTTGAAATCTCCTCTTTCAAAACCTGAAGTTAACATTTTCAAAAATTGGTGACTCCCTGCTCACAATTCATTATAAAATAAATTCCCAGACCTGAGAAATGATTACTCATTTTGACGAGAAGTCCTCCATTACATATAATTTTGTCCTCATTTTATACATATTTTTATTAACTAAAATCACCCACCTCCTGATCGTACTCTTCCATATTTTCCATCCAAAGGTAGTCAGAAAAATCGCCGTCATCCTTTTCAGCATAATCCCTCCGTGTCGATGAGGGAGAATTCATCAAATCCACGATACTTCCTCCTCCCCCAGAAGAAGATTCCGTTGTTCCGTTCGAGATTCCAGACGACGAAGTGAGGTCACCTGACCCGTTGTTTCCACCTCCACCTGCGCCTTCTTCACTTCCCCCCGCGGCCGCTGCGCCAGGTTCCCCGCCCCCCGTCTTGGTTTCTTCCGAAGCGCTCATGTTACTGTTGAATTTCATTTAGCATGCTGCAAAAAAAGAATTAATTAATTTGTGATATTTTTCGCAAATAATTTGATTCAATTCGCAAAAAAATTCCATACACAGTTTTTCTGCGTATTGCAAAATGATTGCAAATATAGGACAAAATAGATGATAAAATTTTCCTATAACTAGCTTATCTATCCGTCTTATCTTATGGCGATCATTTTTCGCAAGTTATTCTATTCAACCATCTATCATCTATTCATTCAATTCGCTAATCTTTACTACTAAAATTCCACTAGTTTCCCAGCGTATTGCAAAATAATTGCAAATATAGGACAAAATAGATGACAGAATTATCCTATAAGTAGCTTATCTATCTTGACTTATCTTACGGTGATCATTTTTCGCAAGAAATTCTACTCATCCATCCATCCAATTCACTAATCTTTTCCTAGCAAAAACTCCCCAGATACTTCCCCCCTCCCCCCATGTTTCCAACCATAAACAGATACACTTACCCAAAATAGAACCCTTTTCCTACCTTATCTGACTGTCTTATCTTACCATGAACACCAAAAATGACCATGTTTCGCAATGGATTCTATTCATCCCTCCATCCAATTCATTAATCTTTTCCCAGTAAAAATTCCCCACATCCTTCCCCCCCCATGTTTCCCCACATATACCGATACACTTACCCAAAATAGAACCCTTTTCCCACCTTATCTGCCTACCTTATCTTACCAAAAAAGACGGGCAATGAACTTACCAGCTTAAATTTGTTCAGCTCCTCTGCCTTCTCTTCACTAGATGAGTATGTAAAACACTAGAATTTTAGAAATTTCAAGATAAGGACCTGCCACCGACACCTTATCTTATCTTATGTTATCTTACCTCCTAATTTGGAACAGTTTCGAAGGTTCGAAAAAGGTGAAAATAGTGACCGACTTGATTGAAGGGACAGATTTGCGAATGGTGAATCTACTAACGTGTGGACGGTGGTGGTGGTGGTGGACGAAGAAGTGGAGCCGATTCGTGGAGAGAGAGAGGTGAATGTGGAAATTTTGCGAAAATGCGACTTCTCATCCATAGATGGCAAAAACCAACCTTTCGGAAAACGAGGAACTTGATTCAGACGAGAATAAGAAAAACCATTGACATTTGTCGCAAAATTGAGAATTTTGCGACAACATCGGGGTGGAGAGAGAGAGAGAATCGTGTCTCAAAATGGGTGATAGTTGCGAATTTTGTTGCAAAATGTCACCTTGCCCCGTCTTTAGATGGTACCTTCTTTCATGAGATTTTGTCTCAATTTGTCGTCTTGCCCTGTGTTAAGTGTTATCAATTGTGTCTCAAAGTGTGATATTGAGAATTTTGTCGCAAAATGTCACCTTGCCCCATTGCGTGAGAATTGTGTCTCAAAATTTTGCATTTTGTATTAAGATGTCATCTTCTCTGCGTAACTTGTCTCAAAATGTGTGAGTTGCGAATTTTCTCGCAAAATGTCACCCTGTCCCGTTGCGTGTCATAAAATGTTGCATTTTTTCATGAGATTTTGTCTCAATCTGTCGTCTTGCTCTGCGTTAAGTGTGATGAATTATGTATTAAAGTACGCACATATGCGAATTGTCTCAAAATGTTGCCATATTTATGAGATTTTGTCTCAAATGTAGTCCTCCTCCTTGTAAAGAATATGATGAATTGTGTCTCAAAATATGCATATATTGCGAATTTTGTCGCAAAATGTCACCTATAGTCCCGTTGCGTGTCTCAAAATGTTGTCTGTTTTTTACGATGTTTTGTCTCAATTTATCGTCTCGCCGTGTTACATGGGAATTATTTGTTACATGGAATGTTTTGCATAGACAGACATGTTACACAAGAAGATCAATGTTTCATTTCACCAAATTCGATCGAAACACTGAGATTGTGTCATCGTCTAAATTAAGATTAACTCGTCTCCTATTTTTTTACGCATTGATCTTGTACATACCATTTCATTTCCATTTAAATGCTCATTTAAATTTGCATTTACTACTCATCAGAGACCGTGTGGCGTAGTAGTAAATGGGATTCAAATCAAGATTTCCGTCTCGCCGTCTACTACGTAACGTCACTTATCAGTGAAACAGGGTTTGATAAGCAAAACAAGCAAATCAAACTTTGATTGAATTGTGATAATCACACTTTGTGATGTAGGGTGTGATTTAGTTCTGTGATTTACACACCTTGTGATTTCTGTGGTATTACTGGTGGGAAAGGTGAGACAACTTGTTTAAAACACATCCTAGCCCAATACCAACTTGGTGTGTTTGGATTCAGCACGAAATTCCGAGCATTTAATAAGTTCCATTTTGCATTTGATTTATTTAGTAAAGATCAAACTTTAATAAACAGGTAAAAAACAGGTCTGAAACAGGTATGAATATGTTCAGAAAATTCGAATATCAAGCTAGTCTTATTTAAAACGCGAAATTAGTTTCATTTTGCCTCATAACCCCACAAACCACATGGTTAACAAACATCACATAAAATCACATAAAATCACATAAAATCACATCCCATGTACCATCATTTTCCAGACCCCACATTTCAAGGACCGCTTTACTCTACATTACGTTACATAAACCCCTATTTTTACATACATACATTCTTACTACGAAGAAAGAACAAAGAATTAACATAAAAATCTCATTCTCTCCAATCCCACTGCTCCACTGCTGTTACTCCGTCTGAAAACAAAGCGTGCCTATGCAATTCTTCATTGTTTGTTATGTTATCATTCCCCCAAATAAAACCGTACACAAAGCAAAATACGCAACGCATCGCAATCCAATCCAATCTTCTCACAAACAAATCCCCGTCTCTTCTTCTGCAATGTTTTTAGCTGACGACGACATCGTCGACGTTCCGTGGTCATCCAGCCTGTCCGTTTCGAAACGGTGTAACCTCTTGGCTTCCGAAGTGCAAGGGTACAGTCGACACGGACGCTCTCTCCGCATCGGGGGCCGCGCTGGTTGGATCCGTCGAGGTGGTGGTGTGACAGATCAGCTGGCCAAGCCTGCCAGGACCACCCTGTGCAGGGGGAATGTCGCCTTATCATAAGGTTATCAAAATCCCCCCATTTTTCCCCTCTGAGAACTTATTTTACAATTCTTCTCCAACAAATACTCACTGTTTTTGATTGATGGAATGACGCCCAGTTTTTTACCCGGGGTTTCGATAAGCCCCAATTTTCCTGGGGTTATCGAGCCCTACATTGATACCCTTTTTTCGTCCCCATCACTCCTGCACGGCCCTTTCCCTATGTTGTTGTTGTCATCATCGAACTGACTCTCTTTTACTTCGCAGTCACTGCACTCTCGCTCCTCATACGCAGCAAGACAGACGGACGGAAAAGTTGCTCCTCAGCAAGCAAAGTTACGAAAAAACACAATTTTACTCAGCCCCCCGAAACCACCCCCACTTTTTGTGAAAGGATTCTTTGTCAAGATAACCCTACAAGATGACCACTACGCCAAAGTCGATCGGGGACGATAGCCTGGCTGGTAAGCAAGTTATTTTATTTTGAGAAAAGGCAAAACTGCGCAGTTTAGAAGGGAAATGATTCTCTTTGTTAGCAAACCCCCCACCAAAAAGGGGGGGGGCAGGAGGGGGTACCAATTTTACGGAAAATGAAGGCAAGAGTGTAGTAAATTTCCTGGAAATTTTGTTAGGCAAAACTGCGCAGTTTAGTTTGTTCAGGAGGGAAATGATTCTTTGTTATTAAACCCCCAACAAAAAAGGGGGGGAGGAGGTGGTACCAATTTTGCAGAAAATGAAGGCAAGAGTGTGGTAAATTTCCGAGAAATTTTATTTTGTTAGTATATTTACCTAGTTATTACTGGACACGTTTTTACGTCGTGGTTTGGCTTTTTGAGAAATGACGTAGTCTAGAAAAAGATACATCCTCCCCTCTCGAATATTTATACATATCCAGCCGTAAATATTTATTCGGTGGTGGTTTGGTTTAGTTAACTTTAGGAAGGGGAATGTTTGATGATGATGTAAGAAATAAGAAATATTTAAGGATTTATTTAGAGCGGATGGAAGATGGATGGATGAAGAAGATTAAACATTTTTTTCTTTCTTCTTGAGTCATCATCCATCATGCAGAAAGATCATGTACTTTAATTTTAAATATCATCTGTGTGACATTGCTATATGTGAGTCACGTATCTTTGTAGGTACACAGAACAAATTTATGCTGTTATTATTATTATTTAAATAGCTTAGTAGTCGGATCGGAATGATGATGATGATGATGATAATAGTGCGACTAAATATTAAAACACAATATTATATTATTATGCATACCATGTAATAATTCGCAAAAGTATTTAACTAACTTCTTTTAACTCTCTATTTACCAAACTAAAGTGTAGATATTTTGGACACGAATTATCATCATCTCATCGTCCACTACATACGTATTTAGTAAAAGATAATTCTTTTCACGTCTATTTACATACATTCATGTGAACAATGCACTTGAAAAAATTACCTCATAATTATAATTAGCAGGTCTAAATTGTTGGGGAGTCGTAGTAGATTTTTTGTTATTATTCTTGTCGAGTCATTGATCCGATTTTGTTTGTATTCATTTATGCAAATGAGTTACTAATTTTTGCAGAGTCGTGGGTCGACGTGACCGTGAACTCGGGCCGCGTCACGCCCGTGGCTGCCCTGCCGACCGTGGGATTGATAAATGGAAGCCCGATGAACAACGGGAACGGGTCGCAAGGACAATTCTCGGCACAGTTGACGGAGGAATATCTGCGATTGTTGAAGGAGGCGCAGCGTGAAAGCAACTATTCCTCGTCGAGGGTCTCGCTCGCCTCGTCGCGACGGGAAAGTCGGTGTGAATCGTGAGTAGTTATGAAATTGAGGACAGATTTGGATAATAATTGGGAATAATTTATGTGTTTATTTATAATTTTGTAGACCAAAGTCACCACCAAACAGCCCGAATAACGAGTTAGCCACGGGAGATGAAGAACTGAAAGGGATCTTTATTAATAAGGTAGGGGAATAATGAATGGATTGCAAAGAGGACGACTTATCAAGTAAGATAAGGGTCATACAGTGGAATTTGGAAGACATTTACGATCAACGTATTTATGAAATATTTCCCTATGTATGTAAAAATGTAAATCATTTACATAAACAAATGTCATTCGTTGTAGAACAATAACTGCAAATTTTAGTTCTCTGTTCGAATTAAGAACCCATAAAGTTTCACAGTTGTGCCTTATCAAAACTAAAAATTAGATAGTTATGTATGTGCCATATGATTTAAAACATGTCTCCTTCTTTTCCACAGGACGCCTCAGAGAAGGAATGGCTCATGTCTTTCTGGACTGCATCAAAGTATGAAAAATTACATACTGTTCACTGTTGTGAAACAAATCAGAAATCACCAGAACTGATGTTATCTTGAATTTATTGATTGTGTTTTGATTTGAAAAGCAGTATATAACTTTACACGCTGCTGGTCAGATCAATACACAATCAAAAACTTCATTAATTCATAATCATAAATTTGTTTAACTTCGAAAGTAACTAACTAATTCCTTCTTCTTCTCTCTCTTCCTCAGGGGGAAGGCCAAGTTGAGCCTTCGTCACACCAAGTGCGGGGGGAAAGGGTTATTCTCACGGGACGTCATGTTTACCCTTTTCCTCTCAAATTTACTCTCACTATTGCTCGGAGCTGGGATAGGGTATGAAAAAACTGTTCAAATTTTCCCCATAAATCTTCTTAACTAACTTATCATCTCATTGATCTTATCATCTCATCTTATCATTTCAGATTATGGTTTAGTAAGCGGCCAACATCCGTGATCTCGCAGCTATCTCTCAACTAGCAATGCACACACACACACATCCCCCCGACTGGAAACTGGAACTGGAACTGTATCTCGACAAAGAAAACTGGGAGCAAAACACACGAGTATGAATGCAGCGTTATTTTTATATCTGCAAAAAAAACAAGAACGTTACGTCATAATTTTATTTTGACTGACTGACATTTTCAGAATTTTTCAATTAGCCACTTTAGAAACTTTAGAAGAAGATTACACTTTTTCAAAATTCGTCTTTTTAACGTTCCCAATTTTAACAATGTTCTACCATTTGTATTTTTTTAGGTGATTTCATACCAATTATTCCATTCTAGTTAGAATTTTGTTTAGTCTTTGAATACAATTTTATCCCCGTGTGTGCCGAAATCGTAAATGAAAGTTAATTAGTCCTTGATTTTTTGAGATTTATCAGGGTTTTAGACAAGAAAATTGTTAAACTAACATTTTTATAGCATAGTTTCAACGTAATATCAATATGTAAATAATCCAAAAATCTCGTACCTTTTGATAACATGATGAAAATTACCAGACTGAACACAAAATTTGGCTGACCGGACCGATAAAACCCCAAAAATACCCGTTACCTTAAACAAAAAACCCGTGCTTTTTAGTCTTTTACATACATAGTAATCAACCCACAGTGGGGGGCGGAAGTTGGGGGGGGGGAGGAGATTAACATTGCGAGATAGGAGGAGTATTAACATGGGAAAGATAGGATTCCCCCCCCCACTTCCGTCCCCACTGGACTAATCAATGTCCAAAAAGTTACCGTAAATACTGTAATTTGCGCCCAATCCACGACCTGAACGATTATTAATAGTTTTAGTATCCGACTCGCATAACGTAACGTAATTAATTAATTAATTAATTAAATTTAATATCTAGTTTCCTAGTTTGTTTTTCCATGTCAGGTGCCGTGCAATGTGAACCGAGTGTTACATATAAATAAGAGATTGAGAGTATTATTTCTGTGTTATGCTAATTTTTACGTAAGAAATAAATATGCATATCGATCGACATACATACATATGTAAATGTAATTGCTTTACATAAATATATATGTTGCGCGCACTGTTATTGCTTTAATTATTTATTAATTAATTTGTAATTATAATTACATGCAGAACACGGAATACTTATAAATGTGACGCTGACGACGACGCAGTTCCGACAATATTATAATTGTTATCAATTAATGATAACTTCTTATCATTATTAAACCGTTGTAGGAATTTTTTGGGTACTAAAAAAACATACATACGTATAAAAATAATACTGATTTTGTAACTTGTCTTTTTTGGTTTTGTGATGATGTTATTGACTTTGCTATTTAATAAAATGTGAACGAATGAATTTCAAAAAATGTGTATTTGTTATATTTTATTACGTTATTTGGTGGATTGCATTATGTAGAAATTTTTGAAACATTTTTTCATGCAATTATTATTTTACAAATTTTGATGTTGTTTTCGGATAATTATGAATGACCTGAATTGTTGTCCAATTAGTTAGTTAAATGCACTGTTTTTAATGTGATATCATTTCATTAGGTGATTTGCATAATGCAATTTGCATTGTGTAAAGTTGTGGAAATTTTTAAAGCATTTTTTTTTCATTTTAAAGTATTTTGTAAATTTTTGTGGCCCTTTTTATCATAAAAATATGAACTTTGACATAAAATTCATGTACTAAATAATTCGTTAAATGAGTTTAAAAGAATGCTGATCATCATCATCTCATTTGGTGAATTGCATTGTGCTTTGAAACTCTTTTCATCCAATTATTTGAAAAAAGATGTCATTTTTAGCAAATTTTGTACAATTAGTTAAATATTGTCGAGTGTCTACTTACTCTAAAAAAAGTCTCATTTTTGAACCAAGTTTCTCAAAAAGTGCACGTTGCGTTACGCAGCTTGCGTAACGAGGTCGATAGCGACTTCTGCATGCATTTGCATAAACCACAACCAACCAGCAGACCACGAGGTCAGAGTGCAGAGTCCCTCCACTCAAGCCATACCATTACTTAATTTTTTATGATGATCTAATTTCAAAAATTCATAATTTAAATTTTTTTTAAATTTCTAAATCCTATATTTTTCCATCATAAAACCAGCCAGCCACACCGGGCTGAGAGTTCATGCAATTTTATTTTCATCGTCTGCCTCCAGCACCCATTTACTTTATTATTTCGAAATTTCATATTTTAATATTTTTCAAAAATTTCTTGTTGTGAGTCATTTAATTCTAAAAAAACAGTTCCAACAAGCCATCATCACACTATTCATTTTTTTTACTCCGTCATCTTGCTCCGTTGATTTTAATGATAATTTATATTTCGAAAGTTCCTGATCTTAGTTTGAAATTTTAAAATGCCTAAGAAGCCCTTTAGAGTTGCCCCCATGGCGCTGCCAAGGTTGATGACGATTAAGGAGGAGGAGGAAGAAGAAGAAGGGGGGAAACCTCGGGGGAGACCGGTTTTTGATTGGGATCCAACCAAACCCGTAGCAAATCATTATTTTTTTTATGAAATTTCAATTTTTATATCATCCCTTATCAATCATGTTATCATTTTATGAATCAATTTTCTTTCCAGCTTCCGCCTGCCGAGGTAAGTGAAATTTTCCTACCCAGTGGCCGCGGATGGGTGTGGTGAGATCTTAACATTGTGGGATAGGGAAGGGTTGACGATGGGGATTGTCCCCACGCTTCCGCGGCCCCTGGTCATGAAATTGGAGGGGTGGTTGACTTACTTATCAAAAGATAAGATCCCCTATTTTTCCCTGTATTTTCCCCCACCGCCTTAATTTCCATGGGGGGACCAGAGTTAGTTAAATCCACAAAAAGACTAGAATATATTTACATCTAGAAGACAACAGTCGTTCGAAAACACGTGTTTTCTGAGCACATGTTACTCGAGCAGAACAGAGAGAGACAAAATGTGTAGTGGTTTTTCCCTAAAATTTGACGTGGTGAGGCGGTCTGGTTTCTGTGCTCGAGCATTACTAGGCTCTAGCAATACTAAAATTGTACTGTGGGGGGGAGGGGGGGAGGGGTAAGTGGCCGTGGGGACGTTAACATTGCAGGATAGGGGAAGGAGGGGTTTATATAGCATGGGCAGATGATGGGGCATCGAATAACATCCACTAGTAGTCTTATCCCCCTAGAAATATAATCCCCCCTCAAAATTCTCTCCCCCCCCTTCCCCCTCTCAATTTACCCCCATCTAACTTATCATACCTCTATTTCTCTCCCCAGATCCAGTTAAAATTGGACCCCAACCTCACCAAAGTCTTGCCCCACGAATATGGCAAGTCACGCCTATGCTCTTGCTGTTTTCTTCCCCTCCTGGGAAACCAATGTCGTCGTCTGGGATGGGCAGGCCGCCGGGTAAGCGCTTATCATCAAAGACGTCGTCCAACTCCCGTCCCTCCCTTTCCACTCCCGATCGGCACCGGACGTCCGAAGCCACCACCCCGTCCCCCCGGCCATCAAGAAGACGACACCGCCTTTGCCCTCATGACCACCGAGATCCACGGGCTTATCGATAAAATGATCGCTGAATCGGAGAAGGACGACGATATCCTCGAGTTTAATCGATTATCGAGAGAAATAGACTGGCTGGTGACCCAAATGCGGCCGGCGCCCCGAGTCGCGTCGCCAATTCCGGAGGACCTCAACGCCATCGGCGTCTTCGTCAATGCGGCGAATGCCATTTTTCATAAAATAATGTTCCTAAGAGCACAAGGGATAAGTGAGGACTCGGTAAGAAGAAAAATATGTTGATAAGTTAGACACTGATAACTTTATAAAATCTGTGACCTTTCTTTTGTATATACCTTAGATTTTCAACCTGGTTTATAACACGGAAGATTCCGCCGCTGACAAGAGCAATTAAAATGATGCATCGTTAGTAAATTGTAGGTAGTAAGTAATTAATAGAGTAGTTAGTAAATTGAGGACAGATTCGTGAAATAATTGGTGCTTTTATTTACATAATTTTTAGACCAAGAAGTCACAAAACAGTGCGAACAACGAATGGCCACGGGGGATGAAGAAGTTTTGAAGATTGTCGCCCTTGATTTGATTAGAATTTTACCAAATTTTAGCGTTCGTGAGTAGTTAATTTGTAACTTGATAGATTTTGTAAACAATAATTGGGGAATAATTCGCATTTATTTACATAATCTTTTAGACTAATGTCGTCACCAAACAGTCCGAGTAACGAGTTGACCACGGGGGATCAAGAGTTGAAGGGGAATCTTTATCGATAAAGTAGGAGGATAATGAAAGACAAGCAAAGAAACGAAACACTACGAATTAATTCCCATCATTCAATTTTAACTAATCAGCTTATCGCATCTTATCATTTCAGATTATGGTTTAGACTAAACCGTTTAGTAAGAAGCGGTCAACAGCTATCTCTCATCTCAACTACCAATGCACACATAGCCCCGACCGGAAACCGGAACTGGAACTGTATCTCGACAAAGAAAACTGGGAGCAACACACACGAGTATGAATGATGCTTTATTTTTATATCAGCAAAAAAAACAACAACGTTACATCATAATTTTATTTTGATTTTCAAGAATTTTTAGTAGCTACAGAAAAACTCTTGTTCAAAATTTGACTTTTTAACCTTCCCAATTACCATTTTAGGTGGTCGTGTTACGTACATACATGTGATTTCATACCAATTATTCCATTCTAGTTAGAATTTTGTTTAGTCTTTGAATACAATTTATCCCCGTGTGTGCCGAAATCGTAAATGAATTGTAATTAGTCCTTAATTTTTTGAGATTTATCAGGGTTTTTAAGAAGAAAATTGTTAAACTAACATTTTTATAGCATAGTTTCAACATAATATCAATATGTAAATAATCCAAAAATCTCGTACCTTTTGATACATGATGAAAATTACGAGACTGAACACAAAATTTGGCTGACCGGTTAAATTAGTTAAATTATTAGTTTTTAAATGGTGATCATCATTTGATTTAGTGAGTTGCATTCTATGTAAATAGTTGTAAATTTGTTTAACGTTTTTTCATATAATTATTTTATTTTGTAAATTTTGGGGTAATTTTTATATAGAAAATGTAACTTTGTGTACGATTAATTAGTTAAATTAATTAAAAATAAGTGGGGATGATGTTTTCATTCAGTGAATTAAATTGTGTATAAAGTTGTGTAAATTTTTAAAACCTTTCTTCATTAAATTATCTTAAAACAACGATGTTAATTCCCGTGCCATTTCTATTTACCTTAAAAATGTGAACTTTGACCTAAATTAATGAAACAATTAGTTAAATATTGTCGAGACTAGACGTTCACAAAAGGTGTAAACTTGTATCAATTTTTAAACCTATTTTTCATCCAATTACAGATACATATTTTCAAGTATTTTGTAAAGTTTGGTGTCATTTTTAGCTGCTTTAACTTTAACCTAAATTCGTGTACAATTAGTTAAATATTTTCGAATCTAGTCACTCTCTCATTAAAATCTCATTTTTGAACTATATTTTCCTACATTTCTCAAAAAATTGGAGCCGTTGCCATGGAGACTTCTACATTTATGTATTTGCATAAAATAAAGCCATCCATCCATCCATCCATCAGCAGCAGTCAGTAGCAGATCACTCTTCTACTCGGCAGGTCAAGGCAGCTCTCCGCTCCTACATCATTACTTAATTATTATCATTCATTTAATTTCAAAAGTTTCCTAATTTCCATTTTTTCAAAATTTCCTAACAGCGAGTCATATATTTCCAGCAGAAACCAGCAGAACACCGGCACCGGCCACCACCAGCCATCACCGGGTACAATTATTATTTTTTTCATCCGACTGCCTCCCCTCCAGCAGCAACTTTAACTTAATTTTATTTAATTATCCTTTAATTTCCAAAGTTTCCTATTTCCCTATTTTCAAAATTTCCTAACTGCGGGTCATATATTTCCAGCAGAAAACCGTCACCGGCCACCACCACCACCGGGCTGAGCTGAGAGTGCAATTTTATTTTCTTCAGTCTGCCTCCATCTCCGCTCCAGCAACAACATTAACTTTTTTTTACTTCATTCTTTCAAAAGTTCCCAATTCTTTTAAAATTTTCAAAATTTAGTCCTATATTTCCATAAAAACAACAGCCACCAGCCACCCTCACCGGGGCGAGAGTTCAATCATTTTCCCTCTGCCTTCAGCAGGAAGGAGATTAATTAATTTAATTCCTTTATTTCCGAAGTTCCCGTTTTTTCCAAAATTCATCATAATGCTCAGGAGGCCTAAAAAAGTGGCTCCGATGGCGATCCCCCAGTTGACCACGATTGAGGAGGAAGACAACGAGGAGAAACCTTATAGGGGGCCGGTTTTGGATTGGTCAAATGTGCCCCTGCCGGTAAACAAAAATCATTATTTTTTTGATGAAATTTCAATTTTTATGTCATCCCTTATCAATCATGTTATCATTTTATGAATCAATTTTCTTTCCAGGAAGCTCCGATAGACTGGGTAAGCCAAATTGTACTTATTTGTGCCCCCTCTGAATAGTCGAGAGGTCATTAACCTTGTAGGATAGGGAAGGGACGGGTTTATATAAATTGTATGGGCAGATGGTTGGTGGGGACATGTCGAATACCAAAGGGGGCATTGTTATTGTACGATGGGGATTGTCCCTCTGTCTGGTCATAAATTGCAGGGGTCGTTGACCCATAAATAAATAAGATCCCCTATTTTAACCTGTATTTTCACCCACCGCCTTAATTTCCAGCGGGGCACCAGAGTTAGTTAAATCCACAAAAAGACTAGAATATATTTACATCTAGAAGACAACAGTCGTTCGAAAACACGTGTTTTCTGAGCACATGTTACTCGAGCAGAACAGAGAGAGACAAAATGTGTAGTGGTTTTTCCCTAAAATTTGACGTGGTGAGGCGGTCTGGTTTCTGTGTTTTCGAGCATTACCACGCTCGAACAGTGGGCGTGGAAGGTGTGGGGACATTAACATTATAATATGCGAGGGGCGGGGTTATAAAATAGGGACATCGACCAACCATGAGGAGACATTGTTCCTCCGTCCCCCTACAAATATAACCCCTGCCCTCTACCCTGTAACCAAGTCCTTCCCCCTCAATTACTTATCCCAAATCTAATCTAATTTCTCTCTTTTCCTTTCCAGTTCAGTTTCAGATTCGGCTTCGACCGCAAATACCCCCATCCCAACGGATATACGGGCCGTATCGTGCCTGGCATCATAGAAGCACGTCGAGCCACCATCCCCTTCATTGGGGCCAAACGTCGCAGTTACGGTCGAGGAAGGTTGCCCCCCTGGGTTTGCCCTTTCCATCGGCAACGACGACGACAAGGAAGTCCACGCCCAAAGGAAGACGAACCACCCCCATCATACCCCGTGCATCCTCAATCATACCCCGTGCGTCCCCCAACATCATCCTCCGTCCGTCCCGGATCATCCGCCTCCGTCCGTCCCGGATCATCCGCCTCCGTCCGTCCCGGATCATCCGCCTCCGTCCGTCCCTCATCATCATCCTCCGTCCGTCCCCCAACATCATCCTCCGTCCGTCCCGGATCATCATCCTCCCTCCGTCCCCCATCATCTCCCGCCCGTCCCGGATCATCATCCTCCCTCCGTCACCCAACATCCCCCGTCCGTCCCGGATCATGCTCCATCAGTCCCCGTCCACCCCAACCCCCGATCGGCACCCAACGCCCGAAACCACCCCGTCCCCCCGGCCATGAAGAGGACGACAAAGCCTTTGCCCTAATGACCACCGAGATCCACGGGCTTATCGATAACATGATCGCTGAATCGGAGAAGGACGACGATATCGAAGAGTTTAACAGCTTATCGGCGGAAATTGATGGTCTCGTCAAAACCATGGCACCACCACTCACACCTCCACCCACCCCAGCGCCGCCACCATCGCTCGCGCCACCATCGCCGCCATCAGAACCGGAGGATTCGCGTGATGTCTTTAACATCCTTGCGAACACGGTTAACGAATTCGTCGCGCAAGTTATGCTTTCAAGGGAAAAAGGGGTTAGAAAAATGGTAAGAAAGAGAGCTTCGTAACTTTGTAAAATCTCTGCGTTTTTTTGTATCATAATTTTACAAACAAAATTAAGAAATTTCCTTGATTTGTAACTTTGCAAAAATTTGTGAAATAATTTTCCTTCGAAATAGTTCTAGAATTTTGTAAAAGTTTATAACTTTACGGAATTTACGAGTTTTACAATGTTACGAAGGACAGTGTGAATGAATTATTCATATTTTTACCGGCATGATATTTAATTCTATTAATTTATTTCTTTCAGTATGAAGTGTTTGATGTAATGAGTCGAGGCAAACGGGATGAAATGGTCCGCATAATTGAATTTCTGAATGGCGACTTGCCTGGATATTTGCATTTGAAGGATGGAATTCCGAGCACAATTGGGGGTCCCGATGTTCCCAACGAACTCGCCCCAGTCGGACCAAAAACAGATCCAATTGGTAAGGATTTTCATATTTTCACCTGTAAAACTCGATGACTCGTGGTGAAAATCAGCAAATTTATAATCATTTCTCCCCTCTGGGAATTTATTTTAAAATTCTGGACGACAAATTTGTAGTCAGTGAGCTGATTGATGGAATGGCGGTGAGTTTTTTGAGCTAGTTTCGAACAGGTCCAATTTTTCTGAAGGCTTCTTAAACTTGAGATCTCCTCCTTCAAAAAGTGGCGGAGGAGATCTCAAGTTTTTACCGAGAAACCTTCAGAAACATTAGAACTCATCGAAACTGGCTCAAAAAACTCACCGCCATTCCATCAATCAACTCACTGACTACAAATTCGTCATCCAGAAACTTAAAATAAATTCCCAGAGCGGAGAAATCATTAAAAATGTGCTGATTTTGATCATGTTTCATTAAGTCAAGTTGTTCCTTTTGCCCACATAATCAAAGAAAGTCATATATTTCACCTTATTTTACACTAATTATAAAAATCTTGTTACTATTTCTTCAGAAAAATGGGAGCAGATGTTCATCGAATGGATTCACCTTTTCTCCAAGGAAGGAACGCCGACCGATTCGACCAAACCATTCCGCCTGTTCGTGCATGATCTCAGCCACGAAAAAATCTTTGCGGACGACGAGACTCTCACGTCCTTCTTAACATTCTGCGTCAAGTTGTGTATCAAGGAAATGTACAAAGTGGCAGAGGTGAGCAATTAATGGATAAATATTATATTATATTGGGTCAAAATGGGCTAGGGTTTGCACTTCCGGGGCCGTTACGAATACAAAAAGACGAAAATTTCTTCGAAAATATTCTAGTTTTGTCAAAAACCCAACTTTTTATCTGTGTCAAGACACTTAACAAGTTTACAAAAATTTGGGACCTAATTTCCCTTCGAAATATCAGTAAAATTTTGTAACAAATTTAAAATGTTACCAAGGCCTGCGTGAATTCTGTCATTGTTTTCACGATTTTTAAAAAAAATGTCATATTTTGACATCGATAAAGAGCTAATTTCTTCATAAAACGTATATTTTCGATCGACTGCTGCCCTCTCGATGTAAATTCTCGTCTTTTTGTATCTCCAAAACCCCCACAAAGCTAACCTCTGACCTCAAAATGCGTCTATTTTGACCCAGTATTTTAACAAAGTTTATATTACTAACTCTTTTTTTCTTTGTTCCGCAGGCGGCCTCCCCCTGGAAACCGCCCGACAAGGTGAAATTATACTACTGTGTCGACGCCTTGGCTCGTTTAGTCGCCTTGCTGATCAAACATATCGGTGCTAAACCAAAATGGTGCCCCACAACGAGACTTATCTTGCTCCGGAAATTCCTCGGAATCTTGGCGACATTATTGCTCGAAGAGGCCAAGAATAAAAAAACTTTTCAGCAGCTTGTCTTTCATCGAATGCTTGTCATGTTGCTCCAGGACTTGATTAAAGACCCGAAATTTAACTGGATTCAGAAGCAGGTTGTTATACATATTTTTTGTCGATAAGTTTCTCGAATTCATCCCTTAAAAAAATTCCTATCAACTTAACCCCCCTCTTTTTCCAGTTTCTCTACGAATTTGGCTACATCCTCCACATCCTCGAACCCAGCACGGTCCCTGGATTCGTCTACTCTTGGATGGAGATCGTCGGCAATCGAAACTTCTACAGCTTAATGCTTCAAGATGATCATCGCGCCCTTGCAATTTATTACCAACTGATTTACGACCTTCTCATATTCGTGCGCCCATTCCTGCGCAGCGCCGATCTCCACAAACAGCCCGGCACCACCCTGTACCGCGGCACGAGGAAGCTCTTTTTACAAATGTTTCACGAACATGTCGAATTCTTAACGCTGTTTTCGTACCATTTTCTCACCCACATCCCGCCCAATTGTATGCAATTGAGGAACATTGTCCTCTCCGCGGCTCCGCGACGAATCCCGCTGCCCGATCCGTTTACCACGAGTGTAAAATTCAAAGAGCTCAAGGACGCGACAGGGACACCGCAGGTTTTGCTCGAAGTTGGCAAAACGCTTCACCGGATACGTGCCCGTGCGCCCTTGATGAAATATTTAAGAACACGGGAACCTAGCGACTTCCGGAGCCGACTACTTTGGTGTTTGGAGGTAAGGTGGGGGCACTATTTTTTGGGGGGTGTATGTAACCCCTCCCCCCCCCCAAATCCATACCCTGAGCTCAAAAATAATTGCATTTTTCTCTTCCCCACAGCAAAAGGACGACGATGGGAAGCGATACGGCGCAAAAATGATTAACGCTCTGGTCGTATTTATGGGAGTATGTCACGTCTACGTGCTGCAAGACGGGGGTAAAAATGTCCGCCACATCGCCCCCTCCAAGATTGTGAAAACGCCTTTTATGAAGATCTACGAATACATGGTTCTCTACATGAAGAATGAACTCCGCTATCTTTTCGTCACGGCGTTGGTCAACCAGCTCAAATTCCCGTCCGCCTACACGCACTACTTTTACCTCGTCATCCTCCACTTGTTCAAGCACGTCCAGCGCAAGGAGAGCGTCGTCGTGCAAGTGGGTGTATATGAATTTTTTTGCATGGTTTTGATGAAAAATGGGCCAAAATTATAGCTTTTTTTTTAGACTTGTTGTTCCCAGGGCTTAATTTCCAGGGGTGGAGTTACACCTACAAAAAGATGAGAATCTACACATTGAGATGGCAGCAGTCATATGAAGAAACTAGATTTTGACCACTATGAGAAGTTATTTTCTTTAAGGAAACATGTATTTTCATGTATCTGCTGCCTTCTCGATGTAGATCCTCGTCTTTTTCTGACTGTAACAGGAAATCCAAGTGCTTTGACATATCCATAAAATATCGTGTTGAAAATAGTTGAAATTATACCCTCAAAAACTAAAATTTGTTCCCACATTTTTCCCAGGAATGCATCACCCGCGTGCTACTCGAGCGGTTGAACAAGCTGGACGATCCGCACCCTTGGGGACTTCGCGTCCTCTTCAGCGAGCTCATTAGCAACGGCGAACTCAAATTCTTGGAACAGCTCGACTCCTACGCGCCGGAAACTGCCGCCCTTTTAGACCACGTGCCTGACCCCTACATGGCCAACAAGTACACCCCAGTCCCACCCTTGTTCAAGTATGACGTCGATTTTCCAGAACTCGACGTGGAGAAAAAACAGCCAAAAAAGTGGATGAAGTAGAAGTTGTGCTGTTACTTTATGAATCTCAATTATTATCTTGTTCTTATCAATTACCGGTTTTTTCTTTCGCGTGTTATTATGTAAATTCGTGAGATTGTTGTTATCATGTAAATTCAAATTCTTGTGGTTAGTGTTATTATGTATGTAAATTGTAGGGATTGTTGTTATTATGCAAATGGAAAAGGTAGGAGGAGATCTGTTTTTATTGTTGTTATTTGATTGATCTCCAGTTTGTATTGTTTTGTTGTTCTTTTTAATTACTAGGGGTTTTATTAGCGTTTTATCATGTTAATTCTAGGGATTGGTGTTGTTATCCAAATTCTTGTGATTGAATGTTTTGTTATTATGATTAGTTCAAATTGGCGATGTGTTTGATGAAATGATTTAATTTTTTTATAATGGTCTCACTGTATTAACTAAATTCTTGTAATTCTGATTATTAAATTGGCAAAATAGTAAAAAAAATGGAAAAAGTAGGATAAGATCTGTTTTTAGTGTAACGTAATCTCAATTTCGAATTATTTTGCTAATTGCTTTACAATTCTGGTCTTGTATAATGCAAATTCTTGTGATTCTTGTTGTTATTATTATAATTAAATAGTTCGAGGTGCCAACTTGGCGATGTGTTTGATTGAATGATTTAAGTTTTTAATAATGGTCTCATCGTATTATGTAAATTCATTGTGCTTATTAAGTTGGTACAACAGCCAAAAAAACTGGGAAAAGTAGGATAAGACCTGTTTTTAGTATTACTTAATCTTAATTTCGTATTATTTTGTCAATTGCTTTCGAATCTCAGGTTTGTATCATGGAAATTCTTGTGATTGTTGTTGTTATTACGATGATTAGTTCGTGGTGTCAAATTGGCGATTTGTTCATGGAATGGTTTAATTTTTATAATGATCTCATCGTATTAACTAAATTCTTAAGTTATTATTATTATGTTTGAAGTTCATGTAATGGGTTTGATTTTGTTGTAATTTGATGAGTTCCTGGGTGGCTAAATTGGTATCATGTTCCTAAACAATAAATCCTTCTATTATGTAAATTCTTGTCATTATGTTAACAAAACTGCCAAAAAAGTAGGATAAGACCTGTTTTGATTCTTACGTAATCTCAATATCCTATTATTTTGTTAATTGCTTTACAATTGCGGTCTTGTATTATGTAAATTCTTGTGATTTTTGTTATTATTATGATTAGTTCGTGGCGTCAATGTAACGATGTGTTCATGGAATGCTTTAATTTTTTATAATGGTCTCATTGTATTAACTAAATTGTTGTAATTATTGTTATTATGCTATCAAAACTGCCAACAAAAATGGAAAAAGTAGGATAAGACCTGCTTTTAGTATTACTTAATCTGAATTTCGTATTAATTTGTCAATTGCTTTCGAATTCTGGTCATGTTTGTGATTGTGATTGTTATTATTGTGATTTGTTCGGGTTAAATTGGCGATGTTTTCATGGAATGCTTTAATTTCTTAATCCTAGTCTCATTGTGTTATGTAAATTCTTGTACTTGTTCTTATTATGTTAACAAAACAGCCTTAAAAAATAGGAGAAGACTTGTTTTTATTGTTGGTACTTAATCTCAATTTCTATATTATTTAGTCAATTGCTTTCGAATCTCAGGTTTGTATTATGCAAATTCTCGTAACTTTTGATGTTATTATGGTTAGTTCGTGGTACTAACTTAACGATGTGTTCATGGAATGATTTAATTTCTTAATCCTAGTCTCATTGTATTATGTAAACTTTTGTAATTGTTTTTATGAAGTTGGCAAAACAGCCAAACAACTGGAAAAAGTAGGATAAGACTTGATTTTAGTATTACTTAATCTCAATTCCGTATTATTTTTCTAATTGCTTTCCAATCCGGTCTCATTGTATTATTTAAACTGTTGTAATTGTTCTTATTAAGGTGGCAAAACAGCTTTAAAAAAATAGGATAAGACCTGTTTTTATTGTTACTTAATCTCAATTTCTATATTATTTAGTCAATCGCTTTCGAATCTCAGGTTGATATTATGCAAATTTTTGTAAGTTTTGATGTTATTATGGTTAGTTCGTGGTGCTAACTTAACGATGTGTTCATGGAATGCGTTACTTTTCTATAATGGTCTCACTGTATTATGTTAATTCTTCTAAATTCTTGTTATTTTATTACGTTTGGAGTTCTTGTAATGATTTGATTATTGTTTAATTCAATGAGTTCTTGTTATCGTGTTCCTAACCAATAAATTGTTCTAGTTCGAGTTTAATTCTGTTAATAAATAAACTGTTGCTCAAACGAAACGTAACAAAGGGATGAAACCCCCTCAAAAATGTTCCCATTCTATTCATTATCTCGCATTTCCCAACAAAATCTTAACTGTAGGCGAGAATCCGGCACACCTACCGGGGTCAAAATAGCACCCACACGAGTTACATGACATTCTAGATTGTAAGTAATAATTAAGTAATTAATTACTACTAAGAACTGCTGCATTTTTTGCACTAAAACCCACAAGATCTTTTTGTTTCTAGAACATGACACTCATTGATCATTATCATTGTTCAATGAACTTTACGTTGCATGCATTTTCGAAACGGCATGGCCTTGTTGATGACCTGACCACGATGGTGATCAATAAGATCTTGAGAATAGTAACACTCAACGAGACACTCTAAGAGCGATGATAACCGGAATAATCACCGTCACAAAGATAATCATGAATCCAACACCTCGGACAAATTTGGTAAAGGTGGAGAAGAAGTCTCGATATGGTAATGTAACTGTGAACTTGTTAGACACCTGAATAAAGCATCAATCAATCAAGCACATTTCGTTGGTTAACTTCTTACAAAATCGCGATAAGCTATGATCGTATTTTACGATATTTACGACAGGACCCACCCCGTTACTTAATCGTCCCAATAAAATACCGGCATACTACTTCCGATCATACCTGTTCACTTTCATTGATTTTACTGATTATCATTGTGAATGATAGTGAATGAAAATGAAACTACTTTCGTTTGAATGAAAAATTTTCATTGAAAATGACTGAAAGATTCCGTCATTTCATACGAATGACTGTGAACGGTTGGATTCCTCTTTCATTTCATTTTTCACCCTATGCTTAATACATGGGACGAAGTAAGAAATGAAGTCAGATGAAGTGAAGTGAAATGAATTTGAACGAAATGACTGAATGTGAATGAAAATCTTCAGTCAGAAATTGGGATGACTGACTTTTGAATGAAAACTAAATTTTTGAACAGGTATGTATGTGATATGAACCTATGAAAAAATCGAATTTCGACATGCATGTCGAATTTCTTACTGGTACAGACGGGCACACATTGCAAAACCATAAAGGAGTTTCACCTCTTTAGACAAGGATGATAAGGTCTCCTTCCGTTATTTTTTTGTGAGAAAATATCCATTTTTGAGGGATGAACACCCATTAATTTTCATAATTGTGAAAGCTAAGTGTACAATTTTCAGGGAAATTTGCAGAGAAGTAAAGAGACTCGGAAACTTATCAATCAATCACAGATTTTGATGCCCTACATACATGGATTTGTTGTATATGTAAAATACTACCTCTTAACAAACAAATTCTGCCTCAAAATGACTCAAAATGGTTTAAAAAACAAGAAAAAATCCATTACAATATATGTTTTACATAGTCGAAAATTTATTTAACAAAAAATTAAAGATATATAATTCCGATCAAAAAATGCACACATATTAAACCGTCTCCATTTCCATTTCATACTCGATTTCAATCTGTTTCTTCCCTGTCCTCTTCCTCTTTTTAGACGAGGAGGCTGCTTCCGGGGTTGGCGTCTTGTTTTTCTTGGGAGACTCAAAAGTCATTTCCTGTGTAATTTTCAAAAACAAAATATAATCAGACCAAATCACAAAAGTTTTTTTTTATTCAAATTCCTAAAATGCAAATTTACCTCGATATCGGATGCGTCACTTTCTTCAAAATCGTCCGCTGCGACGAACACTCGCTCCAACTCTTCTTCCTCCTCCTCCATTTCCTTTTCTAATTCTGCTTCAACTTCTTTGTCAATTTCGACCTGTGGTAAAAATCAAGAGAAAATTTATTTAGGTGACAAATCACGTTTCATAAATTGTAAATTCCTCATTTAGAAAATAGTTTGAGAAATAATCCAGCAAAATGAAAATAAAACTAGTATTATTTTCTGGATAAATTTGCAAATTTCGCAAAGATTTGACAATCTTAAAGTATAGTTAATTAATTCATTAATTGCACTAATTAACTACTGACCTCTTCCTCGTCCTCCTCCTCCTCGTCTACGTCTTCCTCTTCACTCTCCACATCTTGTTCGACGGCTTTGTCAAACGCTAATTTTGGAAAGTTGTAAATTTCTCCGTACTACACAAACAACAATTTTTAAAAAATTTAAACACATCATTTACATATTTCGATCTCCACTCATAATTTTCAACAGCTGTAAACTTACGACGCCCTGTTTCAAACGATCCAGTAAACTCGCTTCGATAACGTTGTCCAGCCGGGCGGCGACAAGGGCTTTTTGTTCCCTGCGATTCTCCCGACGCTCAACTTTGCGCTGGATGGGGACCAATTTCTTCCTGTAAACATGTGTAATTTATTATTATTAATCACCAGAAACCATGAATTTTTCAAAAAATATGATATTTTGAGCCCAGTTGTTCCCAAGGTTTGGATTTCCGAGGTTAAAACAGCCACAAAAGGACGATAATTTACATCGTCATTCATATAAATGCATACTTTATGAAGAAATTAACTTTGTATCGATATAAAAAAATACTACATTTTTTAAATCATGATAACAATGAAGCAATTCACGACGATCTTAGAAACTTGTACAAACCATGCATTTTGTAAACTAATTTTCCTTCGAAATATGAGTAAAATTCTGTAAAAATTTGGAAGTTTACAATGTAATAAGACAATTCCCGCAGTCCTTCGTAACTTTGTACAATTCGTGCGCTTCGTACCATAATTTTGCAAACTTTTACACAATAAGAATTATTAAGAATACGCCCTTGATCTGATTTGCAAGTTTGTGAGCTAATTTTCCTTCGAAATATGAGTAAAATTTTGTAAACGTTTCTAAGTTTACAGAATTTACGAAGTTATCAAGGTCTGCGTGAATTGCCTCATTAGATTTCGACAGCAATAAAGAGTTAATTTGTTCACAAAACGAGTAAGCAGCTTATCAATGCAGATTCTGGTCTTTTTGTTCTTCCTGTAAAAACGTAAAAAACCAGACCTTGCGAAGAACGAGGCTTAAAAACCCGTATTTTAACCACCCGTCAAACTATTCCTCTTCAAATAATAATTAACATACTAATTAATTAATCACACTCACGTATTCTTCAGTCGTAACTTCCTCATCCGAATGATATACTGTGTAATCTTTAATAACCGCTGTTTACACTTTTGCCTCACGTAATTCGGCCAAAATACTAGATTTTCGTTTATCTGAGTAATCGCCTTCTCCAAATTTCGCGACAATTTCACCTTCTCCCACATCTTGTTGGGAAAAGCAGCCCTGCAATTAGACAACAATCATAATTAATAATTAACTACTTAATTAATAATTAATTAACCATTCCTAAATTTAAATTTATCACCTTTCAACAGTTTTCATGTAGAGGAAACAAACTCCATTTTCCTCTCGAACCGTGGCGTACTGACTGTTGGCCAAAGGACACGAAACACGGCTGCAAAGTCCCGTCAGATTGTATTCATTGCGACAAAATTTGTGCGTTTTTGTGCTGTAATCAAAATAAAATAAAATGTAGATTTAAAAAACCCACAGTGCAGCCTTCTTTAGCCCGAGTCAGATTGTTTTGTCATTAATAATTGAAGCAGATATAACCTATTTTTGTAATTTTGCGACAGATTTTGCTCATCGTTCAACTTGTAATTCCTAAATTTGCATATTCCTCACGTCTGTGCAAAATTTCGAGTTGATTAGATAAGTTTTACGATAATCGATACACAGACGGACGGACAATCACGACGCGTACATAAGGTCTGATTCAGGTTGCTTTACATTATCAAAAATAAAGACACGACTACAACTTTTTTTTCAAATTTTTACACAGATTTTGCTCATCTTCCAACTTGCAATTCCTAATTTAGCATATTCTCTGTGTGTTCAAAATTTACGAGCGTAATCTAAATCAGATTATCTTATCGATAAGGCAGACAAGACAGACGGACAATCGTGACGCGAACATAAGGCCTGACTCGGGCTAAAAATTGACAAAAAACAGTACAAATTCGTCCCCTTACTTGACTTTATACGAGCAAAAGGCTTTATTAATAATCCCCCACACAATCTGGAATAAAAAACGATTAATTTAGTTAATTTTTAATACAATTAAATAAATTCTCTACGTTAAAAGAAGAACAACTTCTTCCCTCGATAAGTACTTACATCGTCGTTCTGCATGATGCTCAATTTCTAGACGAACTTTACCATGTGATAACTCTTCTCTTTAATATGATAACCACCACTTATCAAAGATTAAAATACTTTGAAAAAATTAATATTCACAAAAAAAGCACATGGAATGAGAGCCAGCGTGTTTCAGTGAGAAACCAGACTGCACCAACGCCGCTCGTGCCGAGACGAGGCAGCATTTAGTCTCATACCATCATCACCACCACCACAATTGCATGACGTTCGGAAATATACATTTCTCTCGGAAACCTAAACTTTTCATTGCATCCAATACATAAAATTTGACGTAAAGAAATGTCTCTTTTCTAATAAAAGTGAGGACAATTAAAAGAAGGGAATTTAAGCCTTTTTTCATATTAATTGAGCAGTTGAGACGACAAAAAGTGGGAATTTGAGACTGTGTTATACTTCAGTCTCACTTTGCCTCCCCAAACCATGAATGTAAATACTATAGTATTTACATTCATGCCCCAAACAACCAATCACTCACATACGTACCTGCATTCTCGGAAATAAACACCTGGAAACTTTTCATAAAATTTCATGAAATTTTTTGAACACGTGACGAAATGTCTCGTTTCCGTTAATAAAAAAAGCCTTTTTTATTGTTAATAAAGCAGTTGAGACGACAAGAAGTGGGAATTTGAGACATGCTACGTTATACACTAAAGCAAGTCTCAATTTGCCTCTACAACCAACTACCTGCAACTGCACATGCATACATTCTCGAAAATATACCCTTGGAAACTTAAACCTTTCATAAAATCTCATAAAATCCTCCAACTTCATGAAATGTCTCGTTTCTGTTATTTCTTTACAATAAAAGTGCAGACAATTTAAGCCTTTTTATTTGCCGTTGAGACGACAAAAAGTAGGAATTTGAAACTATAAACAAAAATCTCACTTTGCCTCCCCAACCAATTCCTCACATCAGTACAAATTTCATACATACAAATTTCTTAGAAATATGCACTTGGAAACTTAAATTTTTCATAAAATTCGACTTAACGTAGGATTAGGTGACTCATCGTCACAGGTCTAAAAATCTTAACATTTTTACACATTTCTCCGTTCTGGGAATTTATTTTTAAATTCTATCAGATCCATTTGTAGACCAGATCAGTACCAATTTATTAAAAATATGTACTCTAGATTTTGACAAGTTTTGAAGGAGGAGACCCAAAAAGAGTGAACGCCTTCAGAAAAATTGGGTCTCCTCCTTCAAAACTTGTCAAAATCTAGAGTACATATTTTTAATAAATTGGTACTGATCTGGTCTACAAATGGATCTGATAGAATTTAAAAATAAATTCCCAGAACGGAGAAATGTGTAAAAATGTTAAGATTTTTAGACCTGTGACGATGAGTCACCTAATCCTACGTTAACGAAATGCCTCCTTTCAATTATTTCTTTTCAATAAAAGTACAGAGAATTTGATATTTTCTTTGATCTTTGATCTTTGATCTCGATTTCTATCTGATAAGAAAAGAATGAAATTTTCATCATTACTGCAATTGAGTCGGCAAACGTGGGAATTTGAGACTTTATAAATCTCACTTTGCCTCCTCAACCAATATCTAACTCGCAGAAGAAGAAGAATGACATTTCTCACCCAAAAATCTCTTGTTACATTGTCCTCCATTTCTCAGTTTTTCTCTGTGATTTGATCCCCCTCAAATTTCCCATTGTCAATTTATTTTCTTGGACGCAGATCATCCTTCTGCACGTTCGTACATCATATTACGTACTTAATCCTCTCAGGAGGACAGCGCGGCACTGAGCGACTCACAGATTTTGGAGCCCTTTCAATATTCGATAAGTGTATGAAAATTGGAGCAAGGTGTTATTCCATGTGCGCTTACCACACCCCTTCAAAGTGGCGAAAAATATGAAAAATCGCCCTTTTTGAATTGTTAAAACTTTCACCAAAAATCATAATTTATCATAATTACAGTTTCATAATTTTTACATTTTCATGATCTCATGCTCCTTTACTTTACCTGCACGTGCGTATACACACGTGAATTTAATCGTCCTTTAAGGAAGACAGCTTGTACAAATGGTGTGCAGATTACCTTCCGCTTATCTTATCTATTATATTGTAGTTTTATTCAGTTATTATTTGTATAGGTTTGTTTATATCTTATCAGGCATACTATTTTTGTCAAATTATATTTCGGTAATGTCCCTTGGTGTCCAGGGCTGCAAATCAGTACTTGTGCTGACACTTATACGGGTGTGCGGTCGAATTGCATAATTTTTTTGGTATAACGACAATTTGGTATAATTTGATTTGGTATAATATTGTTGGTATAATTTAAGGGAACCATTTGGTATAATGAAACTCAGGGATAATTCTATTAGCGATAATTATATTTTAAGCTTTAAAGGGACCAAAATTAATTCCATTCCTTCTTTCCTTGCATTCTACAATCACTCGAATTGCTATTCACACCCACATTCACAACAATGTCCAATGAAAACGCTACTTGTACCAAAAAACAACTGCAAGAATGACACAGAGTACTATATTTGCACGCACAATGCCGTGGAGGGTTGGCATTTACGCATAAATCTATGTGGAAAGCCATTGAAATTTTACAAAATGAATAAAGCCATTGGAATTTGGAAATCTAAACTTGAAATTTGGACAAGTCGAGCCACAGCGTAAAATTCGCACGGACCTGGATAAGCGACTCTTGATTGTAGAATCGTACAACACTGATCTTGACACTTTCAACTATCTCAAGGGTATTGGAAAATGCATTAACTATATGACTGTGTAAAATTTAATTTAAAATTTAATTTTGATTTTCGAATAATTATCCTTTTTTTAATTATCCCTTATGTACCATTATGCCAATTTGTTTTATGCCAAAAAAAATATACCATATTGCATTATCCCTAATAAATTATGCAATTCGACCTACAACCCTTATACGACACCAGTAATAAAAATTTCAATTAATCAATCACTGACCATGGAGGTGGCCCAGATTCTGATTACAATCGATTGCAAATTTGATTAGTATGAAATTTGCGAAAGATGTGATCTCCCAATGGCCGAGATATTTGCATCCCAAGAGGAGAAAACGCGTTGTAAATGAGGGAAGTGGAAAATTTGTTTTCTTTACCTCGCGTTTTCTCCTCTTCAGATTCAAATATCTGGGCCAAACGTGCCCATTAGGAGATCGCGTCTTTCCCAAATTTCATACTAATCAACGTTATGTTTGATTGACCTAATTTCGTCAAAAACGGTACGCATAATGAGGGAGATCTCCACTCTGAGTACTCCAAATGACATCAAAATCAGTCCTTCTCTCAGCCAAAGGTTATCCTCCTCAAGAAGAAACTTGAGATAAAAAATGATCACGGTTCTTCTTCTCCATTGGATTATTATCCGAGAGAGCAGATAGTGTTTGCCATGTCGGATTATTATTGCCATCATTTCATTTCATGTCTTCTCCTCTTTCTCGCCTGCACAACGATCTCCTTTTTTACGATTTGAGGACACGTTTAAACGGTCAAAAATCACCCGTTTCATTTTCTTCTTGTTACGATGTGTAATGAAAATTTTGGGTGATGTATTGTTGCTAGAAGAATTGTACACTGTTAAAAATCTAGCCGAGTAACAGATATACTCCGAACTGGCATCTATTTTGTAATAACTTTCTACCGGATTGGTAGTAGTTTGTTTCTGAGCGGTAAATTTTCCATTACCACAACATTACTGAATGGTAATTCCCGTTGATACCAGTGCCGGTAGAGTAACATATATACTCAGGTCATTAATGATTTAATTCAAGTTTTCTAAGAGTGTATGTATGTACGTAAGTATGCAGGGTTTGAACTGTGATAATATGACATGGTTTAGGTGTGATTTCTGTGATTTTCATACCACGTGATTTCTTCGCCAATTGTGATTTGTGTGATATTGCTGGGGGGGAAAGTGAGACAACTTATGTAAAATACATTTTAGGTAGAAACAAAGATGATATTTGGATTCAGCTCGAAATTCTGAGTATTTTTCTAAACCACTTGCCCCGATTAGGGAAAAGTCGCAGTTTGCATGAGATTTCCATGTTAAAGGTGAAAGTTGGTCAAAAAGCGGGTCAAATACATAGCGTATGAAATTGAGCTGCATTTTTAGCTGAATCCTAACGTCAAGCTGGGTTTGGGGTAAAACGCAGATCAGGAATCCCACAAATCACATATTTCACAGAAATCACAGTGGTTAAAATCACACCACAACGTGAGTTTAACCGCTGTATGAAAATGCTCAGAATTTTCGGCTGAATCCGAACATCAAGTTCGTCTTAATCTAAACTGCATATTAAAGAGAGTTGCTTCATTTTCTCGCATAATCACAGAAATCACATATTTCACATTAAATCACATTAAAACACATCAACATATCATTTTCTAAACCCTATGAGCACATGGCATTTAAGATTCATTTATGGCCTCCCAGCATAAGGTCAATCTTACAAAAGATGGTGAAAATGTGTCATAAATATTGTCATTGTCGCCCTTATTTCAAACACGTGCCCCCCTTTTCGCACGTGCTCTCCACGCGGAAATGAAGAGTGGTATTGACATTTGCAGGATTTCAGGGTGAAACTTATCAGCATTGAAGGTATATCGATGCACCAAAATTTGGGGGGCAATATCATTCCTTCCACGTTGCGACTAACCGTTTCTTAAGAAGATTGAGAGATTACTAAAACATGAAAGTGTCTCAATTTCAATAAAATTGTCCCCTTTTCTTCCTCATTAAGGAAGAACAAAAGTCACTTTTTTCTCTCTTCTCTCCAAGAAAAGCTACAAAATAATGTGGGGACGATGCATACACTGTTAAAAATCTGGTAGAGTCACATATCTTCTCCGTGCTGGTATTGATTTGGTAATAATTTCCTACCGGATTGGTAGTAAATTGTTCCTTAGTGGTAAATTTTTCATTACCACAACATTACTGAACGGCAATTCTCGTTAATACGAGTGCGGGTAGAGTAACATATATACTCCGGTCGGTAATGATTTAACACCGCAGTTTTCTTAGAGTGTATATAAAATTGCTAACTTCTCCTTAACATAGTTTACTAATAATTTGCGAAATAAAATAAGCTTGCAAACTGCAAAACTCGGTATAATT